AATTTCTTTTTTTTTGGTTTTTTTAACAATTTATTCATAGATCGTTTAGAATTAATATAGTACATTTCATGATATTTTTTATTGTTTATAAATGTGACCAAAAGGGTGTTTATAGACCAGCAATTGTATTTAACTTAGAATCTACAGGTGAAGAGCACCTGTAGATGGGGATAGCTACTCTATATATACACAAATGAATGGCATAGCCGCAATGGCTAGGCAAAAAGAAGTCATATTTATTCCTCCAATGATCTTACTTTACCGATAACCATTGATACCTAGTACTTGTCCGGATCTGATCCTCAGGTCACCTAAATCGCATACTAATCTCGAGTAATCGTATCATGTGTGGACATGGTTAATGTACCTGAGGTTTCTTATATAATAAAGGTGGGAGGAAAGCAGGGATTTCCGTCACAATAAATAGAGATTTATTTTTCAACAAAAATAATATTATAAATCAATCAATATATTAGATATATAAAATTATAAAATACCTAATATAAATAATAAACATTTTAATACAGAGCAATCTAGTCTTCAAGATTGATTACTTGGTTGGTTGATCGGTGGTTGATTGGATTAGACTATTCAGATGTAGACTATTCAGATGTAGACTATTCAGATGTAGACTATTCAGATGTAGACTATTCAGATGTAGACTATTCAGATGTAGACTATTCAGATGTATCTACTATCTAATTGCACAAGGCGAGGTGTGATTTTTGTAATATTTGCATCAGAGTGGAAGCCTGGGGATGTGGTTTATTTTGCTTTGAGGGTTAGGTTTTGTGGGGACGGAGGGTAGAGATAGAGGGTAGTGGTGGAGGGCGAAGATATAGGGCAGAGATATATGGGACGAAGAGATAGGGCAAAGACACAGGGCAAACACAGGGCGTTCTCACCTTGGAGTTTCCTATGCATATTTCATATTAACAGTATATAATGCTCACGGTCCCCGGTTGTCAAATTTTTAAATACTACACAAGCTCTATATCACAAGAAGTTCGAATAAAGGTACATCCAATTATTTTATAGCTTCCCGTTCTAATGCTAACTTGATTAGGATAAGATTCTACCACTATCATTACCGGCATCATTACCAGCAGTAGAAGCGAAATAACCGAGACAAATCATTAACCTTGAAGAAGTGTACGTCCTTGGTACATTCTTCCTAACCCTAGTGTCAACTAACACTTCTAGATTCATGTGCCATATCGAGATTTGGGAGTGCACCTGCGGGCACGACGTTATAACTAGAAACGGCTGGAAATCTTGCCATAACAGTGCCTGCCTTAGAAAGGGGAAAGATACTGTTAGAGGCTATTCCGGTTCCTGCAACGAGTGTCAAGTTCAATCTTGATGCGGATTTCGGGAAGTGAAAAAGGCTGTCGATAGCTGATTATGTTATCCATTGAGGAAGGGGGATAGCGCGGAGTGATGGCATCTCGATAGGTCTGTTCGGACTGATGGTGGAGGATAGAACTATGACCCGCAGGCCAGATGATAGTATTGTTGCTTTGCAAAACTTATTTAGCCGCTCTTCAAATACATCCGCAGCCCGCAATATCAACGCGATTATTTTCCCACATTAGTTTCCCTCTTGGAATCTATTCAATTATTAGCCTTTGTCATAGCAGATAAAGAAGATGAGATAGTATCACTAACCCATATCCACATTCTGGACATGTGTAAATAATTGTTGAACCTTCATCAGCACCTCTCATCTGCACATTACGGAAAGTCATTTCCTCCGCCGGACAGTCTATATTTGGATTTTCACAGCTACGTTTGACTCTTTCGGTAGACTTTCGATCATCGGCAGATACTTGTTGAACATTTGAACGTTTTGTGCGAAGGAGGGAAGGAAAGTTATCGGATCTGGCCACGGATATAGCTGATTGTCCTTCGCTCACCATTGAATCTACCACATTGTTAGCTTTTGTGTATAGCGGAAGACGAAAGTATTATATACTTAGGACGGAATCTCCACAACAATCACATCTCACAAATTTGTCTAAGGACACATCTAGGAGATTGCCACAGGCGTCACAAAATTGCATAACCATTGTGGCGGTTTGATGATATGTTGTAAAAAGTGAAGGTATTGAAGAATTGCGAATATATTTTTTTGGCCGCGGCTTCATGCGGCATTAAGTTAATCCGCTTGATGCTGCCCCACTCACTGTTCCTCGCATGAAATTTTATGCACCCCTCGAATGTCTGTGCAAATGCAAATTCAGAAAGCTAAATTTCGATCTCGGGATAACATCAATATATGTGCATAGCATAGATTAGTGGGGTAGTGTGTCATCTTACAGTTTATAGTCATATATGATACTTGTGTTCCCTATGGTATTGAGTATGAATATTGAAGGGAAAGAGGCGAGGAAATTCAAAACCTTAGATTATTCACTTGAAATCACCAGGCGCGATTCCTTGAGATAAAATGCTTAATGAAATCATGCAAACATATATACTCAACACGAGATAAACGCATTATAGCCCCGTTATATTGCGTTAATATATTGCTCTGAAATTATCATAGTGAGCAATGGCGAGCAAAATATATATGCTACACAAGTATATGAACATTAAAACTACAACTATTAATATTATTCAAGAACATTAATACACCCATATGTGCATCCCACTATTCATACAACGCTTTTTGCCACCAATCACATCTGTTATTTGCAGTGGTATCAGTCTGCACACTTCCCAGACCAGTAGTTCCAAGAATTACTGTCGTCGAGTTACTTTGGTACTCTGGGAAGAAAGGCACCTCTTTTCCATTAGGATTGCCTGTCGCGGCGAAATTCATGATGTACCTTTGTAAAACGGCTGCTACAGTAGCATTTACAGGCATTCCATCATCAGAAGTTGTGGTGTCGCCATTGAAGAAGGTATAAGCAATATCTTCACCGTGAAGTCCTGGTGGAACGGTGAAGAAGTAAGAGTGAGTTTCGTTAAGGAACGCGGTATTGAGGAAGCGAGTGTTGCATGTGAAAGCAAATTCAGCTGTAATCAGAGATGCCCGTTCCAAAATATTTTTGTACGGATAGGAACCATTATAGACTGGAGGGTATAAGGTCCCAGTGATGTAGGCAAGGGTAGAATTAGATATGGTGGGTAGAGCTGTGACAAGATCATTGATGATGTCTGCTTCTGTGGAGAAGAAAGGAGATGTGAAGAATGCACCTTCATCAGAATTGTGTCCGGTCATGACCTTGACGTTTGTATCGAATTTGCCTTCAAGAAGAAGTTTGGCTGATAGTTCAGGTACAAATGTGCCGTCAACTGCAGGCCCGAACGTAAAAGTACCATAAGCAGCTGTTCGTGCAATAACGATAGTATTAAGTCCGGCCAGAGTAGTGAAGTCAAGGCTTCTCAAATCCGATACTGAGGTGATGTTGGGGCCAATGAGTTCCTGTGCTTGTGTGATGACATTTTGAAATGTCCCCTCTGATTGAACAGAAGAATAGACGGGAGGAAAGCCAGGACTCTGTAAAATAGCCTGGGAGAAAGGTGCACTGCCGTTGCTACCACCATATGCTGTAATCTGATGCATGATCGACCCAGCTCCGGCAGATTCGCCAATGACCGTTACTCGGTCTGAATCTCCACCAAAGAGGTAGATATACTTTTGTACCCTGGATTTGTATAAAGTCAACAAACTTGTAGCCAGACTCGGCAAGAAGAGTGAAAGAGGCTTACCATTCTAAAGCCAGTCTCTGATCAAGAAGAGCTGCATTTGCCGCTCCACTTTCTTGAAATGTGGGACCAGACAGCCATCCCTAGATATAATCAGTTACTTTCCTCGAAATAGTTCAGGGTGAACTTACAAAGAGGCCAAGTCTATAGTTGAGGGCAACGTAAATCACACCTTCATCTCCATTCTCTTGGCTTCTCGAAATCAAGGTGGCGGGGTTTCCCGAACCAAATTTCGATCCAGCAACGTAGCCACCTCCGTATATCCAGACCACAACCGGCGCTGTGCTTTCACCGCAAGAGTCGTAGATGGACTTTGGTACAATGACATCAAGGAACAAGCAGTCCTCCGAAGTCAATGGTGCTGGTGCGGGAAGTCCTGAGATAGTGAGATTCTTTTCCACTGCTTCTACTTCTGCCTCGACAAACTCCAAAACAGTTGCGTTAGCACCGCCGAAGTAGTACGAAGCAACCTCTTCCCAATATGGTGTTGCTTGGGCACAAATGGCTCCTTGCTGGCCGTCGTTAATGGTACGATTCACTTCAGGTTCTATTGGAGCTGCAAATCGGAGATTTCCTATGGGAGGAGCGGCATATCGAATGTTTGAGAAATTGTAGTACTGTCCTGTCTCCTGTGATTTTTTTAGCACTCAACCCGGAACTTGATTGACAGATGTTTGCATACATTTATCGTAGCCCGATGAAGAGCATACTCAAGATCAACGACGGGCAAGGACGCGTTGGTGGGCAAAGCATAGGCTACTCGAGTCACAAATGCAACAATTGCAATGGCCTTGATCGCAATCATTTTGATATTTTGAGAAAGGAAGCAATTTACAACGGAGCAAAAGGCATGAAAAAAAAAGTATGGAAAAGGGAGTTTAGTTCATATATGACATGGTTAAGTAAGCGTGCAACAGTGCATCTGCTTTTCTTACCTCGGTGGCTTAAGGTTATCCCACATAACACTTGCTTTGGCGCCCAAAAATGTATCTTGTCCTGCACAAATTGCTGACGTTTGTCAACAACGCAGCTCGATCGATATTCGGAAATGAGTAGCTTGTCTGTGCACTAGCAACGGCGGTCAAACTAGATTCTAGCATTCTACTGCATGGAATGAAAGGACGGGACGAGATCTGATTGCCATGGTACTCTCCACAGCCACTAGAAAGAGGGGGGGGGTTCTCCTAACCACTCATATTCAAGAATCCGTCGGTGAACCAACCCTTTAGAGGAGGTGAATTCATTTACAAGGATTTCGAGACACTAGTCCAGGGACAATGCCTTAATATAGCCGATATTTGATGTATAACGCCATGTACGGAATATGGTTTTCTTCAACGCCGAAAACCTGGATATTCGTAGTTAAGGCCGCTGAAAGTGTTTTCCGCTTCCGACCTTCCCTTTCGGATGAAAAAGTGTGGATGTTTTGGCCCATGCGTAGAATACGAACATTCTCGGAAATAGCGGCATGCAAAACATGTTGAAGTTGTGAACTTCACATCAAGCTTGCTATTGCTTGCCATACTCTGTTCTTGTCCCAAGGCTTAGAATGAATTTATTTTCACCCGTGGTGATCTTTTTCAGAGCGATGGCTATTTGAAGGCTATTTGATAAGAGTACCTACCGAGGTAGGTAAATGGTACGGTATGGGTCGACTACACCTCCCGTAGTTTGATCAGCCTTACGCTCGAGCCACACAACCTTCATTCCCCATTTCCAAATCCCATGATACCAGCTATCAAGAATCATTACACAACTCACCTATGTAAAGTTTGAACCTCGCAGATCATGTCCACAATCGCCCAGCCTCGAGAAAGCTCCGTGAATGGCCGTCGTGTGCCTTTACTCACAACACCTACTTCCTCAACACGACCGAGTTTAGACCATTCCCGTTCCACTGAACCGTCTCCCAATCGAGGACCTTCAATTGCGATACCACGGCGTAATCGTGCCGCTCTACGAGAATATTATAACCTCAAAAAAGGGCAAGAAGCGCCTACTGACGATGCCGCATCTGAAGCTTCCTCGGTACACTTCGATAGTGAAGTGCAAGAAAGCGAAATGGACAAGGATGGATTTGACGGCAAGAAATACGTGAAAGAGGTTCTGGAAAAGCAAACACTGGGCGAGCTGCTGCGGACTTATAATGGAGTTTTGACTGATATAAGGGCTCTCGATGCGGAGAAGAAGGCACTGGTTTATGATAATTACAGCAAGTTGATCACGGCAACAGAGACAATCAGAAAGATGAGGACGAACATGGACCCGTTGAATCCAATGGCTAGTACGCTGGACCCGGCAATTGCGAGTATCTATGAGAGGGCTGAGAAGATTAAGGGTGAGTTGAAGGAAGGTCTCACGGAATCACAGAGAAAACTTATGGAGATGGGCGCAGAGGAAAGAGCAGCATTTCAGAAGAAAAAGAACATGAAGAAGCTTGTGTTGCGCGTTTTGGAAACACCCGAGAAGTTGAGAACTTTCATAGCAGAGGGTAATGAAGAGGAAGCCAAATCAGAATGGGAGAAAACTTTGACTCTGTTAAGAAGTTGGAAAGAGAGGGGTGTTGGGGGGGATGATGTGCAAGCATGTATAGAAGATGGAGAGGCAGCTTTGAGGGGCGAGCCTCCAAATGAGAAGAGTTGGGTTAACATAAAGGGCAAAGGAACATCATGACGCGACGACACCAACATCTGAATCACTTATCACACCTGGAAGCTCGAGCGAATCATTATTCGTGTAACCTGGTAGGGTCACCGGGTTACCACTATTCTACCAATCCACCTCATCCTTGTGGATGATATCAAAGGGATCCCTATCGACCTCGCTAACTGCAATTTCCGCTTTGCCCTCCAGTGCCTCTGTCAAAGCAGTCTGCATTCGGTCCTTCAAAAAGGCTCTTTCGGTGTTGCTGTGGAATGCAGTAACAACACATTTGCCTTGCTCGACGGCCGCCAAGGCTTCATGATGGCTCAATTCGCCAGTGAACAACAAGTCAACGTCCAAGCCATTAAGCATGGACCCCCCGGATCCGGCACAAATTCCAATGGAAGAAATCTCAATAGAAGATTTTTGTCCTCTTGGTATGGATTGTGGAACTGCTATGGAAAGTCCGGAGAGCCGGTCTCCAATTTGGAGTGAGGATTGCATCCGTGCAACAAGGTCTCCTAGCTTTTGAGGTTGCTTGAATCGGACGATTCGGCCATATCCGGCGCCTTCGAACCCACTGGGTATATCCTTGACGGGGTTAATAATTAAGCGTTGGTGGTCGATTGACTTGGTACCAATGCTATTGCATATCAGTGTCTCATAATCATGAGTAAAATGAGCACGAAAAAGGAACATACGATGGATTCTTTCCTAAGGGTCGATTGGTGACTATATCGGCGAGCCAATCATTGAGGCCTTCTGGTGCAGCATCCACAGCCGTATGAGGACTGTAAACACTGATTCCTTCTTGGGCAAGTCGAAGGAGAGAACTTTGTTGGGAGTTGGCGAGGGTGACTGCTTTCAAAGGACGGAAGATGATAGGATCTTAATATTAATTAGACAAATGATATTAACCTTTGCTCTATATTTATGCCAAGTCTACTTACGATATGTGACAATGACTGAATCTTTCCTACGGATAGCTTCATCTGCAACCCCTTTGGTGAGGTCAACAGTCAGAAGAACTGAATCCTTAAGATGATTTTCACGATGTGGTGCCTCCAACAAAACTTGAGGATTGTCAGTGAGGAACACACCCTAGAGTTTCACGAAGTAACCTACGCCCTGTGTTATCAAAACCACTGTCCGCGAGTTTCTCTGGGTATCTGCAATGTACCATGAGCACTGGGCTTTCCTTTGGGAATATTGATTCATTATAACCTACAACTTTCTCATAGCCGACACAACAGCCTGAGTGAATGGCGAAGAAGTTGTAGACATGGTTCTTTTTGATCTTACGATGTTCTTAGAAACTATCCTTGAGAACATCACATTCAATATCGAATTCGTGTTGTTTTATTAGTAGCCCACACGTTGATGACTTTCTTCAATATTTCAAGGCATACTAAAGCGGCGACATTTTTGCATCATCACAATCACAATCCCCGATTTCGCATGACATGAGAAAAAGTTACAATCTACACCATTATTTTACATATATCTGATTATTACCACGGAAATAATGTCAGAACCATCCGGCGTATCTGCCGAAGGTCTCAAGGTCAAAATCACAGATTTACTAAATGCAAGCTATGTTGAGATCGAAGACATGTCAGGTACGAATATTTTCTCCTGCCCCGCAATGCCCCCGCCATACTGAATGATTCGGGTCTACAGGTGGTTGCGGCCAGGCGTTTTCCGCAGTGATTGTTTCGCCACAATTCGAGAAGAAGACTACTTTGGCAAGGCATAGACTGGTAAATGGAGCTTTGAAGACGGAGATTGCGGCCATTCATGCCTGGACTCCGAAGTGCTACACGCCAGAACAATGGCAGAAGCAGAAGGAGGATGGTAAGGAAGCGGTTGCGCCAGGAAAGAATACTACTGGCGAGGTTGTCGATGGGACAAGTGCCTGAAGGACGAAACGGGTCGGAGTTCTGGCACAGAATATACATACACTATGACGTCCGGGGTGGTGGGAGTAAATGGATAGGGAGGAATGAGTCCCTAGGTAACATTGGAGGGACATAGGTGGTATACCAAGGATTTATTGAGATGACATAAACTCATATGTGATTGAGCCTTGTGTAGGAGGTCATATAATGACATGTTGTCTAGGTATTGGGAGTGGTAGAGCAACATGAAGCATTGTGTGCTGAACCACTGCGCTGGTTTACCTAAATCCGGACCTTGTGGATATCGAGGACAGTGTCTTCCAATGCATGTGTGTTGGACTGGTACGATACTGAGTCTTTCGGTCATACCCTGATAAGCTCTCGTATGCTCATTCACACGAGGCCAAGCCATAATGTTCAAGCCTTCAAACAAGTCAAACAATGACAAGCTTCGTGCAGCAAATTGTTTCTAGTCCCTTTCCCGTTCCCAGGCTAGAGCATCCTATTGCCAGTAATCATGTCTGAATCTTGCTGACACGTTGTGCAATAACACTGAATACTGCAATAGATGATATGAATAAAACTATGTTGTAGAACTATAATCTAGTAAGTCAGGAACCCTAAAGATTCGATCATAGAAGAAACCTACAGCATTCCTCGAATACGTGCTCTCTTCAGCATCCGTTCTGGCTTCTACAAAAAGTCTGCGTAAGTTGGGTAAGTTTGCCTTGGAGAAAACCATCATTAGTTCGCAATTCAATAAAAATAGGAGGAATTAATGTTACCATATTAAATCCGGACCTTCAAGGAATTCAGCAACAATTTGTTTCATATGACTTTACGCCGTATATGACAGGGGATTACAATCTGGAAGTACGATTGCCGGGTCCCCTGTTCTTTCAAGATCTAGCGAGTCCTCCACAAAGCGTACCAGGCTGAAGCTACCTATCCTATCAACAATCACCACTTTAACAGCAACCCCATACCTTCCAAGTCCTTTACAACATAATCTACGAATCTTACGATTCACCCTTTCTTTAAAGAGCATACCTGCCAATACATACCCTGAAAATCGCAAATCTACGATAATCAATCACTTCCACTAACCGTGGCCTCACTGTCAAACAACAACTTAGCCATAGGCGTATGAGGGGCACCCTCAAGGTCGCCATCTGTGTGAGCGATGGCGGTGAATAGGATCAAAGGGGCCTTCGCGCCACCCAAGAAGGGAGAAACATATGAGTTGAGAGCGGGTTTGGTATCTCAATATGCCTACGAGCGCAAAGAAGCAATTCAGAAGACCATCATGTCCATGACCTTGGGTAAAGATGTGTCTGCGCTGTTTCCAGATGTTTTAAAGAACATTGCTACATCAGATTTAGATCAGAAGAAGCTGGTATATCTGTATTTAATGTATGTTAAAATTGTGCATGAGGATTAGAAGAGAATCGTGTACTGATCTAATGTTTACTTTAGGAATTATGCCAAATCGCATCCAGACCTTTGTATTCTAGCGGTCAATACCTTCGTACAAGACTCCGAGGATCCAAATCCACTGGTACGAGCTCTTGCGATTCGGACAATGGGTTGTATTCGGGTCGATAAGATGGTAGATTATATGGAAGAACCACTACGGAAAACGTTAAGGGACGAATCGCCCTATGTACGAAAGACTGCGGCAATCTGTGTTGCGAAATTATTCGACCTTAATCCTACAATGTGTCTCGAGAACGGTTTCCTGGAAACTCTACAGGAATTGATTGGAGATCCCAATCCTATGGTGGTTGCCAATTCAGTGACGGCGCTCGTGGAAATTAATGAGACTGCACCGGAGACAAAGGCTTTACGGATCACATCTGTGACATTAAAGAAGATGCTCATGGCTTTGAATGAGTGTACTGAATGGGGAAGAGTCACAATTTTGTCCACTTTGGCAGATTATCAGGCTTTGGATGTTAGCGAGTCGGAACATATATGTGAAAGAGTTTCTCCTCAATTTCAACATGTCAACCCAAGTGTTGTCTTGGCTGCTGTTAAGGTTGTCTTCCTGCACATGAAGAATGTCAACGCGGACTTAGGGAAGCAGTATTTGAAAAAGATGGCTCCACCACTTGGTAGGTAAAATATTCTTGTTGATGAGGAATTGCGCTAATCATTTCCCAGTAACTCTTGTTGCTTCAGCCCCAGAAGTCCAATATGTTGCTTTGAGGAATATCGACCTTCTCTTGCAAGCGAAGCCAGACATTCTCAGCAAAGAACTGAGGGTCTTCTTCTGCAAATATAATGATCCCCCATATGTTAAACTTCAGAAATTGGAGATTATGGTACGGATAGCAAATGACAAGAATGTTGATCAATTGTTATCTGAGCTCAAAGAATACGCACTTGAAGTCGATATGGACTTCGTTCGAAGAGCTGTCAAGGCTATTGGTCAAGCAGCTATAAAAATTGAGAGCGCAAGCGAAAAGTGTGTCAACACATTACTCGATTTGATTGCTACAAAGGTCAACTACGTGGTTCAAGAGGCTATTGTGGTTATTAAAGATATTTTCAGAAAGTATCCAGGTTACGAAGGAATCATCCCGACCTTGTGCAAGTACATTGACGAATTAGATGAGCCAAATGCAAGAGGAGCTTTAATTTGGATTGTCGGCGAGTATGCTGAGAAGATCAGCAACGCAGATGAAATTCTTGCAGGATTTGTTGAAGGGTTCATGGAAGAATTTACCCAAACTCAACTTCAAATCCTGACAGCTGTCGTCAAGTTATTTTTGAAGAAACCGGACAACAATCAAGGTCTTGTTCAAAAGGTCTTGCAAGTATCAACGGCCGAAAATGATAACCCTGATATAAGAGATAGAGCTTATGTATATTGGCGTTTATTATCAGGTGATCTTTCAATAGCAAAGGTATTTATTACTTTTCCCTCCTAGGACCATCCATAATAACAATAATTCTAGGACATCATCCTTTCCGAAAAGCCACCCATCACTACAACCATGACATCTCTTCCACCAGCTCTCCTCGAACAACTTTTAGGTGAACTCAGCACGCTTGCTTCTGTCTACCATAAACCCCCTGAGACATTCGTTGGCCAAGGTCGTTACGGCGCTGACGCCATTCAACATGCCGCTATCCAGGAACAACGTCAAAATGCTGTCGAAAACCCAATTGCGGCGGCCGTTGCCGCAGCCGCAAATGGTACTACTGCTCAAAATAATGCTGAGAATCTCCTCGATATTGATTTTGATGGTGCGGCTCCAGCAAGTGCAGATGCGCCTCCAACTGCGGGCACAAGTGGATTGGAAGGATTAGCAGGCACGCCTCAAAGAGTAGATAGTCCAGCTGCGGGCGCAAGTGCAGGTGGTAATATGGCGGATATGATGGGTTTATTTGATGCTCCTATTCCTACTGCAGGCGGAATGGGTGGCATGGGTGGGATGGGAAATGATATGATGAATGGATTCGCAGGGTTGGATTTGAGTGGTTCTAGTCAACCACCTGGTGCACAGACACAGTTACAGCAGGGTGGTGGGAAAAAAACGACAGAGGATCTTTTGGGAATGTTTTAGGCTTGAAGATGATGTTAAGTCGGTGGGGAAAAGAGGACGCCGGAGCGGGAAGGGTTTGTGGTAGTCAAGGAAAGAGGATAGCGAAAATGAAATGTTTGATAAGACAGTCAGTGGTTAGAAGTTAGTAAAATCATTGATTGATTGATTGATTAAATTAACGTCTACACTGAGTCTATGACTATCTAAGACGGCTAGGGGCTTTGTAGGCTTCTAACAATAATAAATGGAGGGTGGCTGGCCTTATTCGACCGTAGCTAATACAGGTTGGGGAGATTGAAAGCCTCAATCTTCTAATGTTTGAATGGGGGAAGTGAAAACTAATACTAGGGAACCAAGCCCGCCTTACAGATACTCTCGTATTCAAGTAAGAGGAATAACAAATGAAATGTAATGAAATTTGACATTGGGGTGATTGACCAAATTGACCAAATTGGCCATAATTGATCAATTCAATCACAATCTTCCGGTCCACCCCCTTCTTCTCCGCCTTCTTCCTCTTCTTCTTCATGCATTCTATTGAGATGCCATGATCTGGTGGCTATTCTCGTCGCCTCGATAAATTCGAGGGTCTTGATGATAAAATCATTATATGTATGTATGTATTCAAAGTGACTCGAAGCATTTCAACATATCTACTCTGTAAATATAAGATTACTTGAACCCCATTGATAAAATTCATATATCTATTTATATATACTCATCAAATCCAATATAATAATAATATCTACTAATATATCATACCTATTTCTTCCCTAATTATATTCTCGAGTACTCGGGTAATTATTAACATCAAATAAATATACAGCTAAATCCCTACCCTTTCTTCATCAAATATAAAGAATACAAAGAATATAAAGAAAACTTAACAAATTTATTTATTAGCCTGGGTATTTCAATCAATGTGATTTGATTTGATTTGGTACGATTCAATTATCATCAATCAATGGGGTTGATATTGATATCGCCAGTCAATCAAGTATAAGCGAAAGCGAAAGCAAAGCAGATACAATACAAAGATATACGCCTACCCATCCAGCCAGCCATCCATCCTTTCCATTCCATCATCCTTCCTTCCATTCATTCGTGCATGCGTATATGCATGCATACATACATATATGCTATGTGTGGCATGCGTGAGAGATACTATCTATCCATCTATCTATTAAAGGAGAGTTGTGTCCATTCATCCATATTCATTCCTTGAGATACTTTATCTTATTCCTTTCCTTCTTCCTTCTTCACTCATGGTTCGCCCCTTGCACCAACCCCAAAATCTAATCATCAAACTCTCCCGGTTCCAATCTCCCATCTTCTCTCTGCTCACCCAAGTTAAACTGTTTGACACCATCTACCAACTCCTGAACTTTCCCAACAACACCCTTACTACTTGCTTTTTTCGCAGCATGTTCACTAATCCTCTGCAATTCACTGACGAAACTTTCACCCCACCATGAGCTCGTATATTTAAAGACGTATTTTTCCAACTTCTTGAAATTAATTTCTCTTTGTTCAGGAGACATCGTTACCGCATCATGGATTGCATCGGCAAGTTCTTCAGTATTCCATGGATTAACGATAAGAGCACCATTGAGAGATTGTGCTGCACCTGTGAATTCGGAAAGGATCATTACTCCGTGACGTTTGCGCTGTGTGGCGATGTATTCGTAAGAGACGAGATTCATGCCATCGCGAGTACTAGATACGAGACAAGCATCGGAGACGGCGTAGAGGGCGGTGAGTTCCTCAAAACTGACGGATTGATGAAGGAAATGAATGGGCATGAATTCGATGGTACCAAAACGACCGTTGATACGGCCAACCAATTCATTGACGACAGCGCGTAAGTTTTGATATTCTTCAACGTCTTGACGAGAGGGGACAGCGACTTGAACGAGAACTACTTTGCCAATCCATTCAGGGTGTTCCGTGAGGAAAACCTCAAGGGCGTGTAATTTTTGGGGAACACCCTTAATATAATCTAGTCTGTCGACTCCGACGATGAGTTTGACACCTTCAAATTTGCGCTCTAATTGAGCGATACGTTCTTCAACTGATTTCTTTTGAAGAGCTTCGATAAATTTCTCGGGATCGATACCAATAGGGAAAGCTGCTACTGTGACATATTTACCACGGAACTCGACACCATTGGGTGTTGTTTGTGTTTCCCTGTACATTGTTAGCGGAAGTTCATGCGGGGTAGCATTTGTACTGACAAAATTCTAGAGCAACTGCTAAGGAAATGTCTAGCATAATCGTATGTATGAAATCCGATCAAGTCGCAATGAAGGACGCTCAACAACAAAGATTCTCTAACCGGTAGGATTCTGTATATCTCACTGGAAGGGAAAGGTGTATGAAGGAAGAAGCCAATCTTGACATTCTTCTTGGTCGATCCGATTTCATCGCGTAACATTTCTGGGAGTAGCATAAGATGATAATCGTGAACCCAGATCAAATCACCATCTTGTACATCCTTAGCTATCGTTTGCGCAAATAACCTGTTAACCTCCTTGTATGCAACCCATGATGATTCGTCGAATGTAATCTCTCCTGGATGATAATGGAATAGAGGCCAAAGGATAGAATCTATGGACATTGTTAGTACCTGCAGATCAACGAGCTATAACTGGCAGAAAATACGTACTAGAAAACCCATTGTAATGTTTATCGGCCAATTCATCGTCGATAAAAACTGGGTGAGCACCATATTCATCCTTCAGTCTCTTAACCAAAGGTTTAGCCTCTGAATCTGGCACTTCCAAACCTGGCCAACCATACCACTGAAATGTGGTAGTCTTTGCCAGCCCACTCAAACCTGTTACCAAACCACCTGAAGACTGAGAGAAACTATATTGACCATCATCCGCCCGTTTAATGGTGATGGGTAATCTGTTGGATACTAAGAGTAATCTGCCAGAAGCCTTAGGCTCCTCGTCAACTAAAGAAGGCATGTTGAAGTTATCCGAAACGTTCAAAGTGCGGGTAACGGGACCGCTAGAACTGGGCTAGATGGAGTAGATTCGTTCTGAGGGCGAAATAGATCTTCTTTAGGGGAAGCTTTAAAGAAGAAGATAAAGCAAAGCTTTTGAAGCGATGAACGGGTGTTCCCGGTAAGGCTAAATAAGAATTGGATAAATGTCGAAAAGGTGTGAGTAGCTTTCTTCGTTGGCAGACTGTGTTTGGAGTGAATGTTTCCCAGGTTAAATAAACTTGGAACAGTGAACTAGCTTTAAAAAAGGGTAAAACGTCTTCAATAGCGATTACATGAACTTCAAAACATCTCAAGTTTCTGGGGGGTATCGGGAAGACAATAAATATATTTCAATCCGGCAATTTGGATTGGCCTTGCTTATAAAATTTTGAGATAGCTGAGCAAATACAAAGAGTTTGATATTTGGTTTTTGTTGCTATAAGTGATTTTCCCCGCCAACAGGAACATGGGTATTGGCAAGTTGAGCAAAAATTGATAGCAATTACCTCATCATCGGAAAGTTTCAGGAGGTTTTCCTCCACCCATGCCAGGGCTGAAGGAAATTGAGAAAATACTGCGGAGTAGACATTTTCAAAGTGGATCTATATATGAAGATATGAAGGTATACAGTATGCTTCAAATATTCAAGTACTAGAAGGTCATTAGAATATACATGGACAAAATATAATGAAGTTGAGTTGTTGATTTATGAGGGGGAAAGTATTTACTAGTACTCCGTAGGTGTCTAGGAATGATCATGTAGGACCTGAAGCTTATCCCGGTCACCGTATAAGGTTACTCTAACCCCGCAGTAACCTCAAGCTTCCCGTGTGGAAAGGCGACAAGACAAAATGATATAATCCATTGTACACAAAGAATACATAATGTCCGGCAATTTCTATAATTATTGCTAGCTTGGATTAAAGCTATGAATGAATAAAGATATATCATCGATGAGTTATCCTTTTAGTGATCGGAGATGTCCAACATCGTATATCAATCATCCTTAATTGGACTGAGTATTTGAAGAACGATAGTATAGGTTCAGGTCTTGATCATTAAACCTTCGATCTAGACTCAAAATATACTTCTGATATAGAAAACAATATACCTAAGGAGGGGTTTCCTGCATATTGCCGCCCAATACCCATATATTAAAGCTCGGATAAGGTCGGACGACGAAGCTTCATGAAAGTCTCCCAAAGATGTGCTCGTAACCAATGCTTTTCCCATGCCCAAAAGGCATTTTGGGAACATGCGGCTATTGTTGATTGTACCACCTACCGGCATAATATCCGCTTTTTCGTGAAAGAGTTCCAATAAATGCCGCAGGGTCGCAGTCAAAACAATAAAACTATGAGCAATTGCGATTTCGGTACCATTTGGTTGGTGCCTAGATATACTGCAACCTCATCGTGCTATCAATTATGAATGACAGATGGTGATAGGAACACGTTATCTAAAAGCCGCATTTATCTCTGCGGCACTTTTTCATCCCGATGATCCCCCGAACCCATAATGGCTACAAGAGTGGGCAAATAGGTGAATATATGTTCAGATGTTCGAGCAAAGTATCTCTCTCGAGCTGATGCTGATGAATGAGTGACTTACAAATTTGACTTACCTGGAAGAACGCATTCCAAATAAAATTTTGCCATGGATCTCAAACTTCGCCGAGCTACCGTAGATGACATCCCGCAACTTCATCCGCTCATCGATGCTTCGGTCCGAGGTCTTCAAATTGACCATTACTCGCCAGCTCAAATAGCCGGTGCTCTTAAATCGGTATACGGCGTTGACACCCAACTCATCAAGGATGGAAACTACTTCGTAGTGAGCTCTGGAGATCTGATCGTAGGAAGTGGAGGAATATCTTTTAGGTCCACGTTATATGGAGGAGATCAATTTGCGACACGAGATTCCAAGCTTTTGGATCCTGAAGTAGATGGCGCCAGAATTCGCGCATTTTTTGTTCATCCTGATTGGGCACGCAGAGGAATCGCTGGTATGATTATCCGGGCTTGTGAAAATGCTGCTGTAGAGGCGGGATTCAAGAAGGCGGAGATCGGCTCAACTTTGAGTGGAGTCGCTTTCTATGAGAAAATGGGATATGAGGCGTTGGGCAGATCCGATGCTCCTCTCGATGATGGATTGGTATTAGAGATTGTGAAAATGGGAAAGAGTTTGGTATGATCAGGCTCTTGGAACGGATGTGAATGGTAGACTGATGCCCCTCCTGGACATCTATCTTCTGCAGGGTGAATTTTTTATGGTAGGACCTGGAGAAGCGGGTTTTATGTGACGACACGAATGATTGTCCGAGAGCCAGTACATCGACTCGGGAGACAGGATCGAAGACGCTGTGGTGTGGAATCTCGATCCTGCTGCTGATATAGGCAGAATTAGCTTGACCATTGACCATGATGCAAACTCCGAGTTCATTCATCATCCCGTAGTAAATCTCTATCCAATCGTGATATCTCTAATCTGTGTCAAGGTAGGTAAGCTTATCATTTTCTTTTTGTGTTGGAGCTTTGAATTCGGAAGCATAGAACGCAGGTTCGTATCCGGATAAGTTCTGATCGACAAAAGGGTATTGTTATACAGCATCTACAGGCGTAACACCGTTGATCCTTATGTACAGATCGGCTCTAGGAGATATAGGGCGTGGCCGATATGTTCTAACTTACGAAGTGGGTAGTACCAACCCAGAAGGCGACTGCTGACTGGTACCAAGATACCTTAATAATATGTTGATCCCTCAATATCTGACATTGCCCCTTTGAACGGCAAATCAGTTTAGTGACAAATATAGACTTCCATGCAAAATATGACTTTTGAACTGTTTATTCTTCTTCATTAAAGACCCTTTCGGCAAAGAAAGTTCTCGAGGGCCGACCGTACATTAACGGTTTTCACATTCATCGATGAAGAATGCTTTGATTCCAATGCCCCGGATGTCGGATAAACTGAAGGGGGTAAAAGAGCTGAAAAAATGGGGGATGACACAGTCACACAACTAATAACTTTGAATGTTTCGAGACCAATCGAGAGTCGAAAAGATAAAACGTTTTCAATGCTTTGGCAATTTTAGAATCCTTTGAATCTGAGTTACATGAAAGTTTTTGATTTGCATCGATGTCGATGTCGATGGCAATATCGATGGCAATATATTCTCCAGCTTTCGAGATGAGAGTCTGATGACTATGGGTAGAAACTCAGTTGATCATTCATAAAGCCGGAGAGCCTGGAACTGAACATTAGGTGTCTCACTAGGATCCAGAATCCAGATGCCTTTAAGATCAGCTGCCTCTAACACCGTACCTACTCTATTTAATGTCTTTAAACCAGCGTGTACATATCCGTTTGCACTTTGAAAAGGGCTGGATGACTCGTGGCTTGATGGGAAAATGCTTCTTAGCTGCTTCTAATGTTCTCTAAGCTTTACCTTCCTCGTAGTAATACAGAAACAGATGGATCGAAAAAGACCCCTGGTTCATCGGAATCGAAAGTCGTAGAATGAAAAGCCAGCCAGTCCTTTCTGAGAGGTGAGGACTACGGAGCCTCGGAGGTTACCTATTTGGTATAGTATTTTTGATTTTATTGTTACAAGTACATCGATAGATATCTTCAAGTAGGTAAGTAGGTAGATAGGTACTCTACGTATGATCATCGAGTCAAATCTCATCAAGTCTTATAGATCTAGTAGTGAAAAGAAAGATACTCGATACTCAGTACACCTAGTACTCTACAGAGTAGAATCTATCCCTCTGTACTTTTCATATTTCCAATCATATTTCGTATCGAGTCCTGACCCTCGAATCTTGGCATGCATCATTTCTATTGGTTGAATCGTGATCTCAGGGTATTTGTGGATATTACTAATCCCCTGCTGGCCAATCACATTGATCGCATGCCACTGATCAAAGATCACCCTTCAAATTTCAGATCGCTACAACCTTACGGAATTTCCAGAGATGCTCGACAGATCGTAACTTACTACAGCATCAGTGCAGTGAGAAAATCAAAACATGAGGCCATTTCCAATTGTCAATAATAACATGGTCGGTATGAGGAAGGATGGATAACATCCATTATTTCTTTCATTTTAGACAATCGGAAGAAAAAAAAATGAAAATCGTCAAATCTCAACGGTAATAAGTATCTTTTCCAAATCCACACAAATTGCGCATACATATGCAATACATCTTCACATAACGAATTACACCTTTTCTATTCTATTCAATCCAGTATCAAACAAGTCCCTTTTTCTAAGTAGTAAAATACCAAGACTATTGAAGTCTTCAATATTACCCATCATTCGAACCTGCGAATAACTATACACATATATACATACATACATATATCTATACCTACGCAAAGAAGCACTCAGCGCAGAGGTCAACTCCACTTAACATCCAGCTCGTCTGGTGGAGGATAAGAACATCGTACTTGGATACTCGCACATAATACCTTCAACCATAGGCCGTGTGTGGTATTATCAGCGGCCGGTTGCAATGGGTTCTTTGAAATAATACTACCTCAAGTAATTCATATTGTCTCGTCGACTATGACTTTGGAGTCTGGTTCGCCTGTAGTTACGACTGGTTCTCATCCTAGAAGACCTCCCGCGCACCTCTCCGTATCCTTGAAGCACGATGTCCCTTCTGTTGAAGACGAAAAGCCAGCGCCATGTGTTGCTCTAGCGAAGTTGGACACCGCAGACCAAGATGGTACTTCCACCTCACCTCTGATGAAACAAACATCCGACGATTCAGAGGATACGGTCGGTACGAATGTGAATGAATGGTTTGATCGCTCGAACACACGTCCTGTCATTGCCATCAACCGAGACGAGTCTGGAGAAAGCAGTAAGTGATTAAATAAGAGCCCTGACAAGTTTCTGCGAATTGATAAATTTCCAGGTGACCCGCCATACTTTCTTCAGCAAAGCTCCAACGATGACACCGATTCCAGCAAAGAATTGCCTACTCGATCTAAACGATACAATCTGCATCCATTAAACGCCATATCCAGATCTCGAGATGGTAGTGCATCGGAAGAGTATCGTAGCATCATTGACGATTTGACGATTGAGAACAAAAAGTTGAAGGAGAGATTAAACAGATATGGACGCTCATCTGTCGCCCACTTGGAGAATGAAAAGCTCTTCGAGGTCAAGATACATTCCCTATCGGCACGCAAACGAAGGGAGCTAGAAGAACTTCTTCGCTCGTTTTCGACTAGTTTTGATAGTTCGTCAGAAGATCTCAGCATAAAGGCTCCAGCGAATCGGCAGTCAAGGCCTTACACATTTTCTGGCAAAACCTCCAAGCAAAAATCTATTTCCTCGGGGTCTAATTCTCGACCAACTGATTCCGCATATGCCTCCATGTCAAGATCTGGACCCTCTTACAGTTCAGCCGGGGAAGGACATCCAACAGCCCCATCGCGAGACGCGGCAGATAAGAAAATGCAAGACTTTTTACAGGACATTCCTCAGGGGTTATTACCGAGAACTTCTCTAGAGATGTCGGAGAATCAACGGAGGAGGATGGTTGTTCGACGTCTGGAACAACTATTCACAGGGAAGAAAGGATCGCTCATCGGTGTTCACAGCCATTCTCTGCAACAGCAAGAAGTTTCTAGGTCTGCTGCGCGAGCGGACCAAGTCTCGCAAAGCAAATTTCAGCCTAAAGAAGGTGTACGCGAAGCTCACATTGGTCCACATAATATGGAACTAGATCGGCAAGGATTGGTAAGTACCCAAAAGAATTCGAAGACGAGCCAATCGCCAACAGAACAGTCAACCTCTCCCCAAAAGTCTCGCGGATCGCCTTCACCAGAACAGAGGCCAACCAGACCCTTGGATTTGGATCCAGACCGTGACCAAGTCGGTTCTGATAACGTCGAGTACATTCGCCACCTTGGAATATCGGCCCCCCAATTATTAACCGAAGAATCACAAGATGCTGCCGTGGATGCCGACGGTTGGGTTTATTTGAATCTTCTCATCAACATGGCGCAACTGCACATAATCAATGTTACACCTGACTTTATCAGATCTGCCGTCACAGAATTGAGCAAAAAGCTTCAAGTATCTCCAGATGGCAAGAAACTGCGGTGGAGGGGTGGCACGGAAGGAACACATTTAAGCAGCGACAGTGGTGGCAGTAGCGTACATCATCGATCTCCGCTCGATAGCGATGGCAGTGATGAAGCTTCCCGCAAAAGGCGCAAGGTTCACGCGAACAAATTCACTCTTACCGGAAAGGCACCTTCAAAAACTTTGAACGAAAATACGAAGGGCTCTGTCGCAACAGGTGCATTCTACTATGAGCCAATGTTTGTTCATTATCCTCAGCGTACCTCCGTGGCATCTGGCGATGAAAGCATCCTGTCACAAAACCATTACAATCTTCCTGGATTTGCTTCCCCATACCAAATCTTTGGCAGTAATAGTCCACGCGACGATGGACCCCTGATATTCTACAATGGAGCCAAATTCTTCACCGATCTTTCTGGCGACCGTGATGATCTAGAAGCTCCGCTGCACATTACAGGTGTTGACAAAGATGGCTACAGCAGCCATACTCGCAATGCGATTGGTTGTTCACATCCTGAAAGACATCTACTTAAAAACAGGACTCCATCTGGCTCGCTTCTACCATTTAGGCCTTTCAAGGATTATTCGAAAGGAGTAGATTTGTTTCAAACACCCGAAACGAGACCGCAAACTCCAAGTGTACTTTCAGATGACGTGGACTTCGAGTTCACTACCGATTTAGCTTGTGGTAGCCCGGGATCTCCCTCATCTCCGGTTGACTTTAGTGCCAGTGGTCTTGGCGGTGTACAACCAGCTGATCATTTGCTTTTCAAGGTACATACACGATGGACCATTGATGATCACGCTCCCGTCAAGGTTTCCAAATTTTCTGCACCACGCTCGACTTCGAGGAAGATTGTACACACCATTCCAAAGTCTTCATTAGACTCATTTCATAATCCAGAGCCCCAGGATAAGGTGGATAGCATACTCGACAAATTAAACCGCTTGACCACTTTCTCCAATGAGCCTGCAACTCCTTTGCCATCCCAATCGCATGAAAGTTTACCTGTCAAGACAGAAAATATCTCGGAAGAATTAGTAATACTTCAACCATCAACACTACCAGCGCCATCCTCTTATTATAGCATGTTTTCCGGTACCGAAACTACAGGAGAATACTCTGATTCCTCATCCTTCTCAGGCATAGCTCATCTTCGAGATGAGCCTCTAGAGAAAGACGACGATCTCATGTCAGATAATGATATACAGGTATCTTCGGATGATGGTGCTATGGACGTCGACGACGCGGAAGAAGACGATGATGATGAAAGCATCGATATGTTAGCATATGTGCGAGGAATTGATCCTACAGGCGTAGCCGCACAGGAAGAAAAATACGAATGGGAAGCAAGTGATAAGTCAGTTCAATTAGGGAGTGCAGCTTCGAAATCGGTTAATCCAGTTATGTTCTCTGAGGCTTCTGAAGTAGAACTTTGAAAGTCAATTTTTGTCGATTTGGGTTTATCTTTTTTAATATCTTTTATGTAATTCTGGATTTATCCATTAGCATGGCAGGCGCGCTTGAGTATGAGTGTGGATGGCATGTTGTTTTTCGCCTTGGAAGAATATCTCTGGATGGCATTTTTTGGCTAAATTTGACTAAGCAAGCGTACAGTGTTTAGCCTCACAGCATTAGGAGGGGATCTGTGGTTTGCTTTTAACTTTTCTTTTCATTTTCATGTTTATTCGTTTTTTTGTATGCATGCATGCATGGAATTTGGCAGATAGGGTGCCATTTGGCGCAAGGCGGAGATACCATATTGATGTTTATGTACCTATGTATGTATTTTTGTTTCAGCGAGCATTGGAATGGATGATATCATGGGATCGGATATGGAATGATTTTGAGATGAAGTGAAAAGAAATGAAAAGAAAACTTTTTGGTTAATTACATGGTTGATGAATGATATATTGTGGTATGTATAACTTGTGATTGATTGTGACTGGATGTTGTTTGGTATTTTTGTGTGTGGGTCGGTGTATGTATGTACATAGCATAGTAGGTGGGGGGGTATAGTTTGTATGAGATGATATGAGGTCCAACAATCTATAAATATAAAAAGCATATTTATTTAAGTCAAGATTAATAATTATATTTATTTATTCCATCGATTAATTTATCATTTGAGTACTCAGTCAGTTAATTAATATAAATAGAGTATTTAATTTGAACACGGGGGTAGGAAATAATTTTGGGTTATGGACTTTTGGGGTTTAGAGTTTGAGGTTTGCAGTTTGGAGTAGTCATTTTATTATTATAGCTAGGTAGCTAACTAGGTAGGTAGGTTATTTTAATGTGTCGTTAGGAACGGATAGGATAGGATAGGATAGGATACTCTAGGTTTTGGGTGAGGTGATGGAGTTTATTGCTACTGATATCCTGAGTGGGTGTGGATGGAATGGGGTGGGCTTTTTTTAATAGTTTGACCTGCTTTGACATGGTTTAATTTGGTCTGTTTACCCGAGGACTTTTTCGGCGGCGCTGACTAGATGGGGGAGGGGTTTGTGTTAGCTTTTTGGTGTTGCTTTTTCGGGGTTGTATGTGATGCTCCCGCGGCGGGGGTTTGGTGAGAATCTCTAGGTATACCACGGGACAGATGGGGGAGAACATTGCGGAGGAAACGAACAACAAGACAGAAAGATAAAAAGGGGAAGATGGAGAAGTGCAAAAAGGAAATACGGAGTGTACATACCATTTAAACCAGTATTATCAGGTTCAACATGAAGAGCCTTAACCTTTCCATCTTCGATTTCCATAGCGTAACGTTTACTGCGGGGACCACCGAAGATGGAGGTACCGTCGAAGGTTAGATCGAGGGCAGATGTAAAAGAGGCGGTTGGATCGCCGAGGAAGCGGATCTTGGGAGTGGGTTAGTGGTGTTTTCATAGGATGGTTGAAGGGGTGTGATTGGGGAGGAAGGAAGTGAAAAGAGAGGTGGATAGTTTGGCCAGGGGAGAATAGGTTAGGTGTATAAGAAAGAAAAAATGGAAGAATAACATACACCAGATTCACCGGTAGGATCGAGAGTTGAACCCCATGCTTTGGTACTAGAAAAAGGTATTAGTAAAATTGATTGATATTTCATGCATGTGATATCTCGTGATATTCACGATGATTCCAGTAGCGAGAAGATAGGAGAAGAAACCAAATTTCTCAAGATTGCTCACTTACACAAATGGATCATTAACAGCAACTACAAATACATCACCAGCTTCCTTGAGCTTAGGATGATTGATATAACCTGGGATATGGGAATTTGAACATGAGGGGCCTGATTTAGAGTTAGCAAGTTTGATTTCTTCTTTCTTCAACTTTGCATATTCAAATTATCCACTCAGCATAAAGAATGCCCATGAAGATAAAAATCTAGATTCGGATATCGGAATGAACAATAAACAATGAAAAGTGGCATTAAAATCAATTGAAGAAAAACACATACTAAAAGCAGCCGGTACCCCAATAATCAAGGCTTTTCCAGTAGTAAGCTCACCCAAGTTTACTTTGTTACCGGGAGAATTTTCAACCAAGGTATTGAGGTTGGGGATTTTATCGCCCACTTTGATGAATGCTGGGCGGGTGGTGGAGAAGGTGCGGAAGGTTTGCGGGGTCGCGAGACGGCGTATGGCGAATCGGGTTGCCATTTTTGTAGGTCTAGGTGCTGTTTGTTTGGTTGATTGATGATGGGTTGTTGGTGAGGTTATTGATGGTGATGTTGATATTTTGGTATTGGAAAGATTAGAAAGATTAGAAAGATTAGAAGGGAATGGAAGGTGGAAGCGATGGTGACGTGAGGAGGGATCGTCATTTCTTGCTTTGTTTGCCTTGTTTAAGTTACGGTTAACCTTATGGTGCAATTCTTAAGACTACTACAAAATATTTGATAACTACTCCGAACCTACCTTGATGCCATCAATTGATTCTTCATTTCTTCATCGGTAGTCATCTAGACTTGGTTATTATCCAGACTCAATACACATTGACGAAAACTTAATGATTGTATACCGAGGTCATTAACGGCAGATTTCTCGAGTCGTATGACATTTTAGCAGCAAATGCACCATTTCACTCTACGTACGGAAATATATCTTGGCACCAAGCTCCATATTCCAAGAATATAAACCTCGGACAAACAATTTCACCGCCAGCAGTGCAACACAATTATCACACATGCAATCAATCTATATTTCCCCAAGCTTCCCCTCATACGATAACTTCTCCACGCCAAGTATAATTTCTTCATCAGCCATCATGATTGCTAGCGCAGTCCTCCCATTGGTGCGCTTCGAGGTGCACTGGAGAAACCTTCTTGCGAGCCAGTCCCGTATTGTTGTTCCGTATTGTTAGCCAGCGTGCTCCATACTGTTTTTGCGGGGACGAACATGGGATTATCCTCATATTGAAGGTTTACTATGCGAGCTATGTTCCCAGTGGTGACTATTCTCATGCGGGGTATTTTTCCGGAGTACCTGGTTGTGAGTCAAGTGCATCAAGATGGAGATACATGGGTACGCGGTGTGAAGAGTATAAAGTCGTGATTCTTCTCTGATTTTTCCAGTTGTTTTTGTTGCGTTTCCATCTACATCTACATCTTTATACTCAGGATGAGGTTCTTCTCTTTTGCTCTTCTCACCGCGGTGTTCGGGACGGTTATTGCGGCTCCTGCTGCTTCTTTCAGTACATTTTCTGATGTTACTATTTTCACCCCCGGAGCTAATTGGACTGATCCTGGTGTTCTCTATGCACGAACAGTCGAATTACCAGGTGGTGTTCTCCTAGCTACATGGGAAAACTACAGTCCCGAACCTCCTCTTGTTTACTTCCCCATTTTCAAGAGTACAGATGGTGGAAAGTCATGGAAACATATCTCGAATATTACAGATCAGGTTAATGGATGGGGATTGAGATATCAACCATTTTTATATTCGATGACAGAGAAAGTCGGAAAATACCCTGCTGGTACTATTCTTGCAACTGGAAATTCCATTCCAACGGATTTGAGTAAGACTCAAATTGATGTTTATGCTAGTTTGGATCAAGGATATACTTGGGAATATGTATCGACAGTAGCGAATGGTGGTGCAGCTACTCCTGATAATGGAGTTCCCGCTATTTGGGAACCTTTCCTTTTTACATACAAGGGACAGATCGTTCGTAAGTACTCCCAGAGTCTATATCAACCACTATAAATACTAACCCAACAAAAGTCTACTATTCCGACCAACGTGATGCACTATATGGCCAAAAACTTGTGCACACCGTTTCCTCCGATCTTCTTACTTGGGGTGACCTTGTAGATGATGTCCACTACTCAACCTACACCGCTCGTCCAGGAATGACCACCATCACCCAACTCCCCAACGGAAAGTACATCATGACTTACGAATATGGCGGCGGTCCCACCGTAAACAACACATCCACCTACCTCTTCCCCGTCTACTACCGAATTTCCTCCTCCCCACTCACCTTCCTCTCCGCCCTCGGTACCCCGCTCATCACAAACAATGGTATCCAACCTACCGGTTCCCCATATGTAACCTGGACTCCCATCGGTGGTACCAACGGCACCCTCATCGTAAGTTGTGGCGGCCGCAGCGAAGTATTCGTAAACAGGGCATTGGGGGCTGAAAATGCGTGGAAGACAGTAAAAACGCCAGAAGGCACTAGTTACTCGAGACATTTGAGAGTGTTGGAGAGTAATAAGAATCATTTGTTGATTGCGGGTGGTGGAATCTTGCCGCCTTCTACTACTAATAAGGTTACGGTTAGTGTGATGGATATTACGAGTGGATTGGCTGCGGAATCGTAGGTTTACTGGCGGGGGAAGTAAGAGTTGGTTTTATGGAGTAAATAAATATATATATACATTTAATGAATTTTAGTGTGTAACCTTCAATATTTACTTACGAAAATTGGAAAGTCCAAATATATAAGCAAGTGAGTAAAGAAGTACAGGTGTGAATCTCTCGATTATATAACTATCTATGAGTACCTAAGAGTGGAGAAATTACACAAAATAACAAAATCATCTAAGATTACCCAAATACCCAAACATTTCCACCCTGTATCCACTACCCCATCCATCTCCAAACTCCAAAATCCTACATGATACTTACTATCCTATATCTCAAAACTCACCTGTAACGATGCTGTACTAAAGGCAGCGGCTGCCTAAGGTTCGTCGATTGCTAGTTATGGGTTAAGGCTTTATCAGTTGGTATTCACTTGAAAGTGAATTCGTTACTAGATCAAGTAGAATGTAGGTAAACTAATTGATAACTAAGTTGAGCACGAAGCTCCTAGGGCTCCTTATCACGTGATTTCTGATGGTGCGTGCGCATACGATCTTCAGGTGACCAAGATCACATACTAATTCGATGAAATCTGATCGTGTTTGCACAAGGCCTAAGCTCTCCTAATTAATCAGTTTGCTACCATCGTAACACCATCAATCCTAATGGTGAATCGTGACATCACCCTCTAAATCCAAATCCAAATCTCATCACGCTGAACACAATATCCTACTCATCACAACTTCCAATTACACCCGCTCTCAATCCCTATTTCCTAGCTCTTTATATAGATTATAAATAAATCTATTTATAATATCTAATCATACTAATTGTCTAATATTGAACCTTCCATCGTTATATATACATATGTAATACACATCACTATATTATATTTCAAATAATATTAATGTCTCATTTTTATTATATTAAAATATGTTATATTACCAAAATCACTATTTATTTACTCCTTCCTGTACTAATAAGACTGTTATAATTTTATAAACATCGTGTGTTTATTTTCGCTAAAAGTTTCATGGCTGCGATACAGTGTTCTGTGGATAAGATGAGCTTAGGTAGGATATTAGGATGGGATTGTTCTACTAGTATGTATAGAGCGAGTGTTGAGATATGTATGTATATATGTATATATATATGTATAGATGGATGGATGCATAGATTTCCTAGTATAGGGTTTATAGATTATAGATGGGGTGTTCTAATTCTACTACTAATTACCTGGTCCTCTGTTAAGTGAGAAGCTTAAGATGAGATTGGCGGTATTTTCTAGGGTTTTTATATGTAGATATTGAGTCTTGAGTGGGGTGGTATCTTCAATGCATATTGCTTTGCTTGTATATGTAAGATTGTGTCTGTGATCTGAGGAGGGAGCTATTCTCCTGTAAAATCCTATTATAACAGCGGTATTCTAGAGATTTATATTATTGAGATCATTCCTCATTTATCGGATCCACACTTGCTGATATATTTGCTGCTGTTTTGTCTACAGGCTGTCGTTTTGTATTGTATGTTTCTTGGAGGTTTTTGGCTCGCTTGTTTGTTAGGGACTAGAGCGAGTTTCCAAGCTAGATTGTGGACGTCCGTGATACAGGTGCTCCTTGTTCTCCCCATGGTGGTATTTAGTGCGCTGCATCATATTACCGGCGAGGAAGATACGTCCATGTTGTAGTTGGTCTGCTACTCGTACAGAAGGTTCGGTTCCCAGGGGAGAATACTCTTAATTTCAATTTCGATATTGGGGATTCCTAGCGTAATACGTAGAAACTCTTTACATTTCTCGAGAGTAAATTCTGAAGCTCTCTCGTCTTTTGAGGATCATATGAGAGATGAAAGACCTAGCGATCGTTGTTGTTGATAGATAGATGTGAATGTGCCGCTGAACTCAGGACGTTCAATCATACAGATGGAAAATTCCCGTTTATTTACTAGGGGCTGGGTTTGAGATCTACGTGGAAAAGGATGTTGAGTAGGTATCCTATTGTACCTTGGCTGGATACTGGGATATTGAGTTGATTTCGGATGGGACTTACTCTCCCATCAACGGTTATCAAGTACTCAGCACGAATGGAGGATACAGCGCCACTTTCTCGATCTTTCAATCTGGCTACAACGCCATCGTCGTCTCTGATTACCAACACATTCCGTATAAAACTTCAAAACACCGCCATGTTCCCTTGCCACATCTACCAAGACTCAGTGGTTCGAGCATATCTTGCGCCACAAATGTCCCTCTCACTGGACTGACTGAATCCAATAAACTAGGCAAAGGAAACTTCCGGGACCTTCAGTTCGCTTCTATCACTTCTTTAAGTAATTGTCCTCTATGTGTACCCATAGTAGCTTTGATCGAAGCACCTGCTTCTCGAACAGTCATTGTGAAAGGAACTGTATGATTTGGTAGAGCTGGAACTAGAACTATCTATGTCGAAGAAGAGGGGGAGATGTATTGGGTGTATTGAGTTTGATTCTGGATACCTCTACCTCTACCTATACTCAAGTTACTTACTATAAGACTTACAAAAATATAAACCTGGATAGATAACAGGTATTTAACGGCTTTCAATAGTCACATCAGTAAGATTTAGTTGAAGCAACAAGATCCTTTGACCTGGACTGACAATTTCATCCCCGATGTCCGATTTCCCATCCCCAAACCAGCTACCTGTATATATATGGATAACATTGAAGTGAGGATATAAATCCGACCCACCATAATTATTATTACTATATTATACAAGACGCTACTACGTATGTATGACGACGAAACTGATGAATAGCTTCAAAATGGAGTATCTGACGCATACTTGCTTGGCTCATCATCATTGGCTGCATCCAGAGTGATATATGGGGATTGAGTATTGCTGTATTGTATGTTGTTCTTCTCTCCATAATATCGTGTTGCTGAGGATATGAAGTTTGATATTTGGAAATCTAAGAAGTAATACATATTTATAAAATGTACCACACAATTTGAAGCTACTCGTACCGTCCCGTCAGTCATTCATTCAATCGCCGGACATCGGTACAACCGGACCCGCACCTGAGCCGCTTGAGAACACACTAGTAATAAATAGGGTAGCACTGTACTTTGCCTTCAGTCGGTTTGTTGATTAGATAACAGCTCAGTTCAATTCAAGGCAGTGGCAGTGACAGTGCAAACACTTATTAAACCAACACTATAATCAAGTAAGATCTTACTATAAATCCTGGATGTCTAACCTTTATTAGTCAGACAATTCAGCAGAACCCACTACTGTACCTACAACCCCGAATCAACTTGCAACTCCATACTTTGTCTAAATCTGAGTTCATTGAAACACACACTTTCAATCCCTCCCTTACCAACTTCCTTCTTCTACATCATCCAGAGTCATCCCATCACTACTTTACTCTATTTACTTCCTTCCTCCTCCCAAATCCTTGACCACTTCTCTGTTTAATGGTTAGGTTACATACATCAACAATCACACGCCATCTCTGACCCGTTGCTTTTGAGCGTCATTCACACCGAAATTACTCTTCTTCGGTAGCCTTGTGTGCCTAGGACCTCGTCGCCTTTGACGAGCCAAGCACTCATTCACAGTCACCATTTCTTCCCAATCTAAAAAGAGAAAGGCGGCTGAGGCGATACCATACAAAGATAAGGACGAGAATCGATCCACCAAACGGATCGCCTCAGCAGCAGCTACTTCAACGTCTTCCGAAAAACCCACAGTCCCTCCTTCGCCACAAGCCAACAGCAACAGTATGGATTCCGAGGACGACTTCATGTCTGGAGCATCAAGTGAGGATGATGTTCTTATGGGCGAAAGCGAAAATGAAGAGGAGTCGGAGGATGGTAAAGCTATACTTTCATAATTATCTGGCAACAAATTCCCTCACTTACAAGTACTAACATCTTTGGGGGCATGTAGAATTCGGATTCGAAGAATCAGCACCCGATATTAGCTTCAAGGATGATACGCAGAAGAAAAAGAAGTCACTCGATATAAATTACAAAGTTCACCGTCCCGAAGATATTCAAAGTCAACAGGACGAACTTATTAATGAAGTCAACATGATACTCGATATTCGCAAAGAAGACGCTGCTATCCTCTTGAGGCACTTCAGATGGAATAAAGAACGCTTGATCGAGGATTACATGGATCGTCCGAAAAAGGTTCTTGACGATGCTGGTTTAGCATCAAGTAAATCAGGGCCACCGAAGCTTGAGGTTATACCAGATTTTGTCTGCGACATCTGCTGCGAGGATGAAGCCGGATTACTATCGTTTGCTATGAAATGTGGGCATCGATACTGCGTTAACTGCTACAATCAATACTTGAGTCAAAAGATCAAGGAGGAGGGAGAGGCAGCTCGTATTCAATGTCCACACGACGGATGCCGAAGAATTATGGATAGTCATTCTCTGGATCTACTTGTTGCTGCAGATTTGAAGTCACGATATCACGAACTTCTCACGAGAACATACGTTGAAGACAAAGAGTTCTTGAAATGGTGCCCTGCTCCGGATTGTCAAAATGCTATCGAGTGTGCTATCAAGAAGAAGGATCTTGATAAAGTTGTCCCAACAGTTGCATGTGAATGTAAGCATCGTTTCTGTTTCGGTTGCATATTAGCAGATCATCAACCTGCACCTTGTACACTGGTCAAGAAATGGCTGAAAAAGTGTGCGGATGATTCTGAAACCGCCAATTGGATTTCCGCCAACACAAAAGAATGTCCAAAGTGTAATTCTACCATCGAGAAGAACGGAGGGTGCAACCATATGACCTGTCGAAAGTGCAAACATGAATTCTGTTGGATGTGTATGGGATTATGGTCGGAGCATGGAACGAGCTGGTATAACTGCAATAGATATGAAGAGAAAAGTGGCTCCGAAGCCAGAGATGCTCAGGCGAATTCCCGAAAATCCCTTGAACGTTACCTTCATTACTATAATCGATATGCCAATCATGAACAATCAGCAAAGTTGGACAAGGATATCTATCATAAGACAGAGAAAAAGATGATTCAACTTCAATCCGCTTCGGGATTATCTTGGATTGAAGTTCAATATCTCAATTCCGCCAGTCAAGCTTTACAAACTTGCCGTCAAACTCTTAAATGGACCTACGCCTTTGCCTTCTATCTTCAACGTAATAATCTTACAGAAATGTTCGAGGATAATCAAAGGGATCTTGAGATGGCCGTTGAGGCTTTGTCGGAAATGTTTGAGAAACCAGTTCAGGAACTTGCAGCCCAAAAGTTGAAGGTTGAAATTATGGACAAGACATCTTATTGTAACAAACGTCGGATCATCCTGCTAGCAGATACTGCCGACAATCTTGCCACTGGTGCATGGTCTTGGAGCACGAGCTTCTGATTACATATTATCCAGGCTCCTCTTCTACTCACTTCAGTAAATGAGACCTCTTGGCAAATCTGTGGGGATCTTCATGGGCTATTAGCCAGAGCAAAAAACATTCTCGAGTAAAACAATTTGTTCTATCGACCAACTTGAGCCTTCTTTATCAACTTCAAGACTTCAAATGTCTATTGTACAGTCATCAAATTCTCCCCTTGCATCATTGGGCGTTTGTAATGGCTTAGTCATAAATGCACCGGATATCTTCTTCATTTTATGAACGTTATTGAAATTTCTTAGCCTAGACACTCCTTTACGGCACGGGGTAGCAAAGCATGGACTCATATTCATAAGAAAGCGGCGCATTATTTTTCTTTTACTCTAGCTACCTGTCTTTATGCTCTTTTCATGCATCATGGCGTGGCGGGGTTGTTACATTTGTTTTTTTGCTCTTTACATTTTTGCCTTACCTCGCTTTTCTGCAAGTCGGCAAGGCGATCTATCTATGTTTTGGCGGGTATGGTATGGATTGGTCTGGTCTGGTCTGGTAGGAATTTGGTATGGTTGGTTGGTCACTTGCTTGCAATGGATTTGGAGAGTGCATAGGGATGGAGTGTATTGGGGAAGGAAGGGATGGAGTGTATTGGGGAAGGAAGAGAAGAGAAGCGAAGCGAGGGGATGATTGAATGACCTAACGTAAATCAGATAATCGTAAGAATCAGAATAGTAAGAATGAGATTGAGATTGAGATTAAGATTGAGATTGCGGTAGACTGAGAGTGAGAATGAAAGAGGGTAAGGATTAAAAAGAAAGAAAAGAATGAGATAAGTCTAGTACCCCACTTCTCGGCCACCCCTAATCTCGGCCACCCTTTTACACCAAAAATCACGATTTTCATCAATTAATATTTCAATAATTGATGAATGAAATTGACTAAAATTTTAATTATTATACTATTATATAGATATAAAAAGATTCTGAAATTTTCAAATTTTTAACGATTTTATTGATTGAGAAATTAAAGATTGAAATTATGATTTTCAATTTATATAAGATTTATTGTCACGATTCACCATCGCAGGATTAGTGTCATGTGAAAAGTATAATCACGTGATTTTATAGCTCTGCTAGCCAGCTAGCATGGGCTAGCACCTACATGAATGCTAGCACTGCTAGCAGTCAGAAAATCGATAGTATATAGTCAGAATAGTTTCATAGTCTAGGAGCTTCGTGCTCAACTTAGTTATCAATTAGTTTACCAACATTCTACTTGATCTAGTAACGAATTCACTTCCAAGTGAATACCAGTGATAAAGCCTTAACCCACAATTACCAACCAGACGAAACCTTAGGCAGCCGCTGCCTCCAGTACAGTATCGTTACAATATAATAAATGAAATCAAATGATAATTAAAACCATTACTCACATAATTGCTTATTTATTTTACATATTAAAAAACCAAAAAGAAAAGAAAGAAAAAAAGAATTTAATTAATTAATTTGTTCATTAGAAATATTTATTTTCATATAAGATTTTGACATCAATAAAAAGCTATAGACTTCTCTCTCTCTCAAATGTCATCTGAATCAGAGTCGCAAATGAAGACTAGCATTCAGTGAAATTGTCTGGTAGTATTAAGTAGAGCATATATTCTCAAGCTTAGATATATCTATTCCTCATAAATTTCAATCCGTCGCCGACCACGGTGCGCAGGGAAATTAGAAGTTTCTTTCCATTTCATGGATTATTACTTCACTTCTTCCTATTCTCTCTCTGGTTAATCTAAAGTAGAAAATTCAGCTCCAAGCTGCTTATCCTCCACCTTTTCTGAATTCCCCTCAGTTTGCGCTGCAAGCTGTATATCCTCCCACCAATTGCAATGATCCTATTCAGAGCTCCTGGAACGGGACCATTGATAATGGAATAACCTGGACCGCTTCCAGGACTATATGGTAAGAAATCCCCACCCTAATGAGCATATTTGTATGAATTGTCTCGAGGCGGAGCGTATAAGAAGAGGAGTCGTTGCCGGGAGGTAGAGCGTGAGCATTGTTTGCGGTGAACTCGTATCCATGGTCTTAACGCGAAACGCTGCGGTCATGCACGGTGCTGATTATGTGAAATGATGAAAATTTGCGCTTCTAACTGCTTCTCTTTACAGAATCATCTGATGGAGACGATGGGCATGAATTGGCCAAATAGGAGGTTGCTTGCCTATTCGTCAAGGAGACTATTCAACGAATTCCGTATCTCGTCCAGACGTTTTTCCTTGCCCCAATCGATAATATTAACATAGATTGCTTGCATTTGTATCCATCATATCGTATTGATTTGAATCGTATTGTACGTGACGGTCGTGATAGTCATGCTATCTATCTATTTGAGGGATAATATACATAAATAATTTGTGTAGTTACCTACCTACCTAGCTAGAAGTAGGTAATAGGTATGGTGTGATAGTGCAGTGCCAGAAAGTGCATGATGCAAGTAGAGTGGAGAGGGTATGAAGTAAGAAAAAATGTGAGAGAAAGAAGACAAGATTGAAGGGAAGTGAAAATAGGTAGTAGTAAAACTCATGTAACAACGCTTTTTTTATCCATCCGTCCGTCCGTCGTGGATATAGAACGGTGTAGCAGTAAATCAGTGATATGATATGAAGCTTATGCTGCAATAAATCCCTTAACATTCTTCAACCATCTCAAATACTCCTTCTGCTCCTTCATATCAATATAATCGGGGACGAAAATGGCAAGTGCCTGATTGATTCCTCGCTCATCCAAATATCTCTCCAACAAGACTTGTAAATCCTCATCCAAATTTCCATAAGGAGGTCCAACGTACAAATCTTGACGCTGATGCGCAGCTTCGGTGGTTTTGGCGTAGGCGTGCGATGCGTCACTGTAGTAGTATACGTTGTCGACTACGATCATGCCATCTTCTGCGACAGTTTCAATGGCAAGGGCACCTTTGTTTTTCTTCTCAACGATGATGTTTACGCGGGCTGGAAAACCTTGGGTCGAGTCTGAGGTGGAGGAGGCTTCTTCGGTTCCGTCCACGTCCTCAGGTTTGCTGGGGTCGAGGTCTTCTTCGTCGAGGAGACCGCGGTCTTGGAAGTCGTCGGCTTCGGGATCGTAGGCGTTGAGGTCCGCGATGGAGAAGGTAACTCGGATTCTAGGTTCGTTGTCAGTCGGGTGATTGTTTCATTTTAGAAAAGACAGGATGAAAAATGGGACAAATAGAAGAAAAGATAATAAAAACATACTTCTCATCACCAAAGCTTCTGGTCAAAACAACCTCTTCCTGCCCAGGCGTATCCAAAATCTCAAAAGGACCATTCTCCATATAATCCTTCACACTCGTAGGAATTTCCTCTTGAGCCTTCATATCTTCCTCCATTTGAATCTCGCTAGCGAGTTTCTCTACTAACTCGGCATCGCTTTCTGGAGCCGCGGATTTGCTTCGAATGCTAGATGTCGAAAATGCAGATGCGCATTGAAGTCTTGAGGCGGGGAAAGCGGTTTGGAGAAGGGACGGACGGGTCGCGGTTTTGATGGCGGTGGTAGTTAAGTTGCGAGCAACTCGTGGTGCTGAACGGGTGAGAGTACGGAGGGAAAGCATGGTGATTGGTTTTATGCTGTTTATTTTGAATTGAAGATTTTCTTATGAGAGATAAAATTGTTGTTTGGAAGTTTTCACTCTTTGGTTTCTTGAGCTCGCCTCTGAGGGAACTTTTTTGCTGCCGGAAAAATGATTGATCCGGACTTTTGTATTGAGTAAAATTGTATGATTTCATAGGCTGTTTGTCACACATGTTTATTTTTGGTTTGAGAATTGCTTATGATATATGCTCGAAATATGTTCTATTATTCATTCTAATCTCACTATCTTGTAGTTTTGTTCAATATATCAGCTCTATCTAAACACACAGCCTCGTAGCATTAATTAGACAATATCATCCACAATTTGCTCCCGCAATTTTGGGTATTGATACAAACTCCACTAACGCCCCCATTTCACTTTGACTCAATCATGAAGATCCTTTAGGTGGGAATTTAGTTTCCTGAATATGCCCACTGCTCGATAAGCGCACCCATTTCAAAGTGTTAAGATATGACCATGTCGAGTTCTCCCACAACGCGAAAGCCATTACATTATCTGAATCGGTGAGGTCTGGTAAGTCTGCATATTGTTAGTTGTAGGCTCAGAGATCGCACAGAAGTGGATTGACGAACAAAATCCATTTTCATATTCCTTCTCATCCGCAGCTATTTTAATCTTCAGAAGATCCTCTCTTGTACTCGCTGGTCGACCAGGACGGCGCTCTTTCTTTAAAGCATTAAGCTCTTCATCATTTTGGTGAACAAAACTGGGTATATAGTTAGATATAATATTGAAGGTAGCGTTCTTCAGGGATCTATTACGTTTTGATGAGGTTATGTATCGCATCGAGCTCGAGTGGCTTCACACCATTATTCTTTATGGCTTCTTGGAAATAAAGAGCTCGTTCCACTATCGCACATGTCAATTGAAGCTCGTAAAATTATTGAATTGTTGAAATGCATACAAATAGGACGATTATGTCTCTTTCTCTCAGCTGCCATTCTTTCCAATTTATCATCTCGTCCTCCTGCTCTTCTTAAGCTGCGAGAATCCCGAGAATTTTCATGTAAAGCTGTGACTTCTCCTCCTCTCTTCTTGGAGATATGCTTTGAGGTTTTCTTGAGACTTTTCGGCATTTTGAAGTGGGCAGATAATTGAGCAAAGTAGTAATTTATATTTTTGATGAAATAATTGAGTACTGTGGTTGCTTAAACTTTTTTTCCAATATCGGAATCTTTATCGCCAAAATTCCCCGCTTGTTACTTTCTGAGCTAGCAGGGATATGAAGTCACACAGACATCATGTTGATCAGTGGTTGCCCTAGTGAAGGAAAAGGAAGTTCCTGGGTGTTCGACGCGCCTTCCATACGCGTTCATCCTATCATGCAGGTTTACTAATTAATTGGGAGGGGACATTTGAACCTCAATCCGATCCTTGATATCAACAATCTTCACGACCACCTACGACAAACTTACGACAACTTACGATAACTTTAACGGCCATTGGTCCCTCATAAATAATAGCATGCTCTTTCTCCTTTTTATGTCTTGAATTATACATTCGTTTCATCATTTCCTCGCCGCTCTACGACGGATTAATAGCACTGTACATGCACTCAAAAATCTAATGGTTCCTCGAGTCTTCCTCTGTTGATCTGTTTGTTTGGTGTTACTAATACTCTCGTCGACATGGGGATCAATGGTACATATATATTCTCTAATGATTACTCACTCAGGTCTTCTCATGTTAACCACTTGTAGGCCTTCTCCCTTTGCTCAAATCCATTCAAAAGCCATGTAATTTGAAAAAGTTTGATGGCAAAACCATTGGGGTGGATGCTTATGGTTGGCTACACCGTGGGACAGTATCATGTGCTATGGATCTTGCTATGGGAAAGCCGACAAGAAAGTATGGAGCCTGGGCCCAATGAGGAAAGAAATATGCTAAACAAGAAAGCAGATATGTTGAGTATTGTATGCACCGGGTACGAATGCTGTTGCATTTTGGAGTCACTCCCTACTTGATATTCGATGGAGACTATTTGCCAAGTAAAGCTGCAACAGAGAAGGACAGAGAAAAGCGCCGGGAGGATAGCAAACGAATTGGACAAGACTTATTGAATGCTGGAAAGACCTCCCAAGCATACCTGGAATTTCAAAAAGCGGTTGATGTGACCCCAGAGATGGCGCGCCATGTAATTGATGAGTTGAAAGAGATGGGAGTACAATATATTGTCGCTCCATATGAAGCCGATGCCCAAATGGTTTACCTGGAACGACAAGGCATAATCGATGGAATACTATCTGAAGACTCTGATCTTTTGGTGTTTGGTGCTAAATGTCTTCTAACCAAGTTGGATCAGTACGGCAACTGCATCGAAGTCAACAAGGCAGATTTTTGTGCTTGCAAAGATGTCAACTTAACTGGTTGGTCTGATGCCGAGTTTCGGAGGATGGCAATCCTAAGTGGCTGTGATTATCTAGCTAGCATGAGCAATATAGGGCTAAAGACAGCTTATCGGCTAGTTCGGAAGCATAAGACTATCGAAAAAGTCGTTCGAATGATTCAATTTGACGGGAAATTTCATGTGCCGAAAAATTACCTTGAATCTTTTTATCAAGCCGAGTTCACTTTTTTACATCAAAGAGTTTTCTGTCCGCGAACTCTCAAATTAGTCCTCCATACCCAACCTGGTATTCCACTTACGGAGGATCAAACCCAATTTATTGGACACGACGTTTCACCGGAGATTGCTCGAGGGGTTGCAAAAGGCGATTTGAATCCTATCACGAAACAACCCATTGTGACTGAACGAAGAAACAAGATGGCAAATCCTTTTACGGCGTCGAAGAGATCTGTCTCTACGAGCGACTTGAAGAAGGGTGTTTCCATTGATACATATTTCAAAGCTAAGCGAACCCCTCTTGCGGAGCTTGACATCAATTGCTTTCAACCTTCTCACAGTCAACAAGAGATTCTTTCTCGTAATTCAGGGCCGTGGATTGCTGAGCCGGTTCGTCCATACTTACAACGATCTACTACCGAAATAGAACCTCAATTGCCTCCTCACCCCACTACTCGAAGCTCCAGATCGACTGGAAGAAGAGTGAATTCGCTTACTGAATCTCGACCACCAAAACGTGCACGACTTTGTGAGGATGATTCATTACTTCAAACACCAGGAACTGGTCAGAAAGTGGAGCTAGGTCGAAGCCGTTTCTTTGTGGATGGGTTTGAAGATGACAGTCCAAGTATTTCCAAGGTCTCTAAGAGAAAGAATAAACAGAAGGAAGATATAACCATCTTCTCGGATGATTCGATTGAAGAAGCTATGATGAGCATTCCAGATATTGATAACTATTTGACAACCAGAAAGCCAAAGATCAAAATCTTCAGAGAGGCTTCATCCAAATCTACTCATGATTCCCAGGAAAGTACGAGTACCTTTAGTCAGCACGATCAGACTGAAGACTCTCAAATTACGGTCCCTGATCTCGAATCATCTACCACCAGCAGGAACTCATCTGAACAACCACCTTCTCCAATCCTTGAATCGTCCACCCCGCTTCCCGACCTTAGGAGCAGGTTTTCTCTGGATGCTTCAACTTTTTCAACACCGAAGACTACTACCCTCAGTCAAGGTCTCCCAACTCCACTGTCCACTTCCACACAGTTTCAGTCGAGGATTCCTGTTTCGGCAAAGTTGGACACCAGAGCTACAAAGAAATCCGTCACAACCTCTGCCAAATCTGTTCTCACGCCTCTTCAACGACTAGGTGCTGCCGCACATAACCGCTTCAAGCTACCACCCACACCTCCAATGACTCCCATGCTGGCCGCCGGTCCCATCGCCTTTCTTCGAAAATCCAACGTTCCTTTCCCCGGGGCCACCAAAGAGAAAAAGTCAAGATCAGCAGAAGTTCAACCGGCATCCGTCCCGTTGCCTCCAATTGATGACACTGAGGTAGCTGCTTTGAACCAGAAGGGTAGTGAGGATTTGATTATACCAGATAGCGAGGGAGAGGAAGAGCCATTGTCACCTGTTCAAGAAAAGTCAAATAAGGGATTAGGTTTGGGCCTCAATTTAGGGCGATTTGTTTATGCCGGTTGAGGATGTCATCATAACACATTCGGACATGATCATACTACAACTCCTTCAACATGATGAATAATCCACGTATCCACAAGGTGACGAAAAAAACTACCGAAGTGAGAAGAAAAAGAGCATATATTATTGAATTAGTGGATTAGTTGTTACTATTAGATTTGCTGAATTATTGGGTTTTGGAATGAGAATCACGGAAATAAAGGATTAATTCAAATTTGTGGAGTGGAATGGTTGCAAAAGAGTGTTTGGTGTTGGGAGTAATAAAGAAGCAAAGATCCATTATGTGTTTCTCAATACCAATTGGGGAAGAGAAAGATGGGAAAGATGATTAAATAGATGAGGATGAAGGTAGTGATGAAAACGAAAACGATATCCTCTTGTGTTGCTCTTGTTTTTGAGCCTTTGATAAGGCTGTTATGGTTAGGATTAGTATTTACTAGGGAGCAGAGGAGGTAAAGAATCCAAAATGATATATATTCTTAAGTACATATGGCATGACATGTGCAGATTGAAGATGTTGTATTAGTGAAATCATAATGAATGAATGTGTAGGAGTAAATTATATCTTTCCCCCTTTACCGACTCTTTGCTTTCTATTTAGGTACTTCTTGATTTAATTCTGATGTGCATCTCCCTCAGTGAGGATTTGATATTTGATATTTGATATTTGATATTTGATATTTGATATTTGATATTTGATATTTGATATTTGATATTAGACTTTGGATATTAGACTTTGGATATTTGATTACAAAATAGATAACTCATAGCGATGACTATAACGATTATGATTATAAAAATCGAGTATATATGTTTTCAAACCCAGGAAGAATTATTCCTTTCGTTGAGCAAAGTTACTGTATTCTTATTAATTAAAATCATATGATATTCTTTTCTTGCTTTTTGACTTTGGTTTTTCTCCTTTCTTATCTCTTTTCTCTTTTCTTATTCCCTCATCCCTTCTTATAAAATGAATTCCCTATCTCATTCATCTGCTCCATCTCCTTCATCTCGTCATCTATACTCTCACCTCTCATATTTCCTCCCACTTATATCCTTCATACCCTCCCTCCCTTACAACTACAACCAAAACTAATATCTCGCAATGGAAAGAAATCCATCCACTCACCCACTCACTCACCCACTCACCCATCCACTCACTCATCCACCCACCCATCCAAAAACATCCACAAAACACCACACACTCACAAGCAAGATCAAAAATCCACACACAGTGCACACAACCCCCAAACATACCATCCAAAATTCCAAATCAAGTTTTAGTCAAGTTTTAAAAGGTCAAACATCTGATTCTGTCTCAACATTGTATGTATATATTCCACATATTCATTAACTTTCAGAACATCCATCCATCCGTCCGTCCACTCATCTATCTACTCAATCAGTCAATCCTCTTCTCTTCTCCATATGACTTAGCTCACAATGATATCCATATAAGCACACCCATACCACACCACATCATACCCACAAAAGAAAAGGAGAATGAGATTATCTAACGCCCGCTTGTCCAACCAGATGATATTTAAAAAGTTCAAAAAGAAAAAGTTATCCGTTAAAGAAAAAGGAGTTTAAAGCAATCACAGGAATTCTTTACTCAAGTAATTCCCCTTATCTCCCATTTCCTCTTGAATCCTTCCTACCCTATCCTGTCCATATAAACTCCTAGGGTAAACCTTCTTTACTCTTTACGTGTGAATGAATATCCATATCCAGTTTCCATATCAACCATCCTATCCTTTCCATTCCAACCTATCCCTTAGACAATCGTCTCATTCTCTTCACCACTTGCAATTATCGGTATTGGTAATCCACGATCTGGACTTTGTAATACCAATTGTTCATGTCTCCTCGCTCTGATGAAGTCACTGAAAGCTCTAATTAAGATAAACCATCCAACTATCATAAGTGCATATGCAAACCATTCATTACTTGCAATATCCGAGATTCCACCATTTCCAGAATCCATTCCTGCTGTCGCGGCTGCGTTAACCTTGTCGGGGTCAAAATCGTGACTATTTGCGTCAGGAGGTTGAGCATATGATGCATCATTTCCTCCTGATGGTGGTGTAACGACATTATTTGTGCCTTTCATATAAAAACCATATTGTATAAGTGTAATTCCGAGACCAGCGCGAGATCCATTCTTCGCGGCGTGCGTAGTATGCAAGAGGTATGTAAGGAGGAAACCGACGAGTTGGAATGACATCGATATCATACCGTTCCAGATAAAGGAGAATAAGGATCCAACGGGAAGACCTTCGACATATACTTCATCTAATCCGCCGAATCCGGGTGCGAGAATTGTCGTTTCCCAATATGGTGGAGCTGCGTCTGCTGCGGCTTGTTCATATGTCTATATTATGTCAGCATAAGTGTACAATATGATGATAGGTATACATACAGGTGGATGTTCTTCTTGTTTCTCACCTCTCTCAGGCTTAGCACTTAAATTTGCAAAGACACCATCAGATCCCGAACCACCACCATAAACTCTTCCACCTGTCGGCGGTACAAACGTCGGTACCGCTGTGATTGTTCTTTGAGTAGCTGGTCGATTCTCATCACCCGACGTTTCCGTAAGTCGCTCCGTTGACGAAGAAGGATTTCCACGCATTAATCGTTGTCTATCATCTCCATCATTATCCTCATCATCAGATCCATCATCACCAAATGTATCCGCTAGATTTTGATCGACGGGAGTTGCATGATGTCGTGAAGAGGGGGAAGAGCCTCGCGATCGGAAGGATGGTGGAGGGGATGTAGGTGTCGAAGGGGTATCTTCATCATTCGCAGATACCTAATTAAAAGATGTTAGTATTCATCTTCATACATTAACCACTATATCCACTCCTCAAATCGTGGCGAGGATTAGTGGGGATTACGCACCCTCTCATATCGTTGTGAACTCATAATGAATTCGGTATCTGAGAAACAAAGAAAATGAAAATGACCAAGGGAGGAAGATTTGAAGGTGATGAATGAATGTAAAGAGTTAGAAAAAAGAAGAAGAGGTCGTGAAGTAGGTGAAAGGAAGAAAAGGAAGGGTGGTTGAGGTAGTTTTAGTCAGGAGATTAAGAAGAGGGAGAAAAAGGTCGTGTAGATGGATAAGTAGGTAGTCAAGGTAATCAGGTAATCAGGTAGTCAGTCCTTTCGGCTTTGTTTGAGATGTGGGATGGGGTTGCAAGATTGATTGTTAGCTTGTACTTAGAATAACTCCGTAAGCGCCACATTCATTCGCTAGAAATCATCGATATTTTTGATGAAGGGCACAGCAGGAATAGGGATTGATTTTTAATAGGGGATAGTAGGAATTTATTATGGATTGTATGGAGAATGTAAGAATGTGTGAAAGAATTAAGTAAAGCCTTAAGTAAGAGGTATGTATATAAATGTGAAATGAATATATAATTATTCTTTTATATGATTGACATTCAATAGGTATCATCTGTCATTCTTGAATCAAGATTTGAATCTAAACAATCATCTCTAACCTCTGTCCTTTAAATCTTACAAATCACATGCCATCAAATCATCGACTTCCTCCCATACTAAACCCACACCCTCTTCCATATAAAAACACCCAAATCTAACACAGCATTACAACCGCATTATAACCGTATCCACTAAAAAATGAATCCCGTTTTGCCTTACTCTAATTCTGAAAAGTAATGACCGCATAATGTACCTACCACCCCCCAATCGCATATCTGCATTGAAAATCCATCGAAAATCATCCTTTCAATTCCAATCATCTAGTTTATTCAAATCATCTACCGGTAGTTCATTCAATTTATCCAATCTATTCATTTTATTCCTGGTCAATACAATCCCATCTTCCCCATTAACCAATTGATTCTCTCTCAATCAATTTGATTCAAACATCATGTCGCAATCGGTAAGTTTCCTTTCTCTTTGGCTCCTTGAGATCAAATTTCCGAGCTCGTATTGGGGGTTTCGAGATACGCACGGTCAGGCAATTGGGGGCTAGAAGTCTAGATTGAGATGAAGTGGATGTTATGTTTACTTGAATACTTCGTTTCATGCCTTTTGGCAAGATATATACTTGTTACATTCTATTCTCTCCCCGTCACATCAATCCCTCAGTCTCTCAACCCCATCATCTCCCTGTCGCCTCCGCTTGCACCCTCCCCCTTCCTCTCCTACTCCTCCAATCCATCCACTTCGGAATCCTTCCACCCTGCCCTCTCCCTCCCTTCTCCATCCCGTTTTCTCCCATACCCCTCCAAACCCAATCTAACAACCCCCTCCCCCTTAGCCCGCCTACCACCACTACCTCCGCGCACTCTCCCGCTGGCCAAAAGACGCACTCCGACCCGAAGCCCAATTCCAAGACGCCATCCGTCGAAGAATCGAACGAATTTCTGCTGCCGGCAAATTCGACGAGAAGCGGGAGTTAGGCCAATGTAATGCGCTTTATAGTTTACTTGAGGATCGATATCTGGGGAAGGTACGTTGATTTCTATTCATTGATTTTTCTGTTTCTTTGGGATTTGGTTTTTGGGAGGGAGAAGGGGAGGTGAAGGGGGAATGTGGAAAGAAATAGCACGGGATGAGGGCAGTGGAGGGAAGATACACAGATGATACATGAAATAAGAGTAAAAGAGCATTCGGACTGGATGAACATATAAAAAAAGCCAACCTAGAACCACACAACAACAACAACAACAACATCCACAAAAAACCAAACTAACACCCACCCCCTAGTACCCTCTAACATCCAAAACGCTCAAACCCGCCAGCAACCCAACATACTACGAAGATCTCGTCAAAGAACTCGAAGAGGCGCCTAAAAGGAGTTGGTTTCAGCAGCAGGTGAATAAATGGAAGGGAGCTTTGCGATTTCAGTGATGTGTGTATGTGTGTGAGAGAGAGATGTACGTGTGTGTGAGTGTGTGTCTGAGATGATGATGACGACCTTGGGAAGAAAAAGAACCAAGTGTAAGATTATATTATATAAACACTTGAATTGGGATGGGATGGGATAATATAAAATTTGTATTACTAGTTAGGTACCTAGTGTGTTGACTGAGGACATGAATATATGAACATAATGAACGTAATGAACGTCCTGTATCCATTCCAAAGCAAACACACCCCTCTACCCCACTAAAGTTTCACAGGGAATCATACATATCAGATCAGATCATAGCTAGGTAGGTAGCTAGTAATCCATTCAAACTTTTAAATTTTACATACACTACTAGCTCTAGCTCTATCTCTTAGACTCCCAAAAGAAGATACCAAATTTCTTTTCTCTTCCTCACTCTCTCCTCTCTCCTCTTCTATCATAAGCCCAGCCCAAGGACAAATACAAAGGACAAAGAGCAAGAGCAAGAGCAAGAGCAAGAGCAAGAGCAAGAGCAAGAGCAAGAGCAAGAGCAAGAGCAAGAGCAAGAGCAAGAGCAAGAGCAAGAGCAAGAGCAAGAGCAAGAGCAAGAGCAAGAGCAAGAGCAAGAGCAAGAGCAAGAGCAAGAGCGAGGAAAAGTGCAGATAGATAGCTATCTAACAATCTATATATATATATACACACATAATTATATACATACAAAACACACAGCCTACAGCATACAGCATACAGCATACAAACTCCACTCCTCCTACCGAGAAATAATACCATGCTGGGGTTCTAGGTCTAGATCCAAGTCCAGGTCCAAGTCCAAAGAAAAGCTAGCTAGGTTGCCAAACAAGGTAGGTAAATGACGGAATTCTACGAGGAATTTGAAAGTTTGTTCTGTTTGTTCGCTGCGCATAGAGTTAAAGAAAGTGCATGCATGCATCCTTCTCCGCCTGCGCGTTTTCCAGTTTCCTCCAACTTTTCAAATCCACTCACTCACTCATTCACTCACTGCTCAACTTCCATTCTAAATATATTTACTTTCTGGGTCTACGCGGCCCATTAACTCGATACTCTGTTCATACATTGTAAAAACAATGCCGCCGCTCAAAATTAACCTTCCTAATCTTGGCAAAGCTCCACTCCAGAATGTAAATAGTCCCTCATTCTTCGCTATCAAGCTTGCGCAATGGAAACTATTCTTGTACAGGCTTCTCGCTTCTATACTCTGCATGCGTGTTTTGACGGTATCGAGTGGTTGTGTTACATATACCGTGATGATACCTGCTAAGCCGCCAATCCCAAAAGTAGATAATGCACCTAATTTTTCTCCGGGCGCGGTATACGATTGTGCGAGTTGACGCAAAGAGGTGTAGGATCCGAATCGAACGGCTGAATTGGCGGATTGACGAGCCGTGGTTGGGACGAAACCTTGGAAGAATCCTCGTATACCTCTTTCGCGTGCGATGATGGGGACAGCGTGGAGGAATCCCTTCATGCGCGGTTTGGCGCTTTTGCGATCGTCGATTCTGCGGTTGTTAGTTATATGTATATTGTAGAGAGGGAAGAGATGGGGACGTACAAAGTTGTCTTAATACTTTCGAATGGTGTGACTGCTAGTAAACTTTCTGTAACACCAGCTCCAAACCCGGCAATTACAGTTCGGGGTCCTGAAATCTTTCCATCGGCGTCTTGGAGTAGTGCTTTATATTGATCGAATGCGACGAATCCTATGATTGTGTATTAATATTCGCACTCTATATCATACATCCCCTCAATCCCTCTCTTCCCCTCAAGCTCTCAAACCACCACTCCACCCTCCATCAAAACACCCCGAAAACAAAACCTCCAAAAAAGAAAAACATACTAATCCCCGCCTTCAACGAATTCCCAATAATCAACGTCGTACACCCCGCATACCAAGCACTCCCAAACTTCGGCCAAGGAAGTTTTCCACTCTCCGGCAATCGTCTATTTAACTGCGTCCGCGTCTTTGCAAATTCAAACGGATATGTAATTGCGATTTCGACCGCGCCGGCTGTACTTCCCGCAATGATGCTACGAAGGGCACTAGGTCTCTGTTTAGGTTTTTCGGAGGGTGTTGGAACCGGTGCTGATGCCGGTGCTGGGGATAGTGTTGCCATTGTGTTTGTTGTTTTGCGTCGGATATGGATGGTGATATTGTATTTATAATTAATTTTCAGAAACGCAATTACAATTGCAATTGGGGTTTAGGAGACAGGAAATGGGGAAATGGGAATTGAGTTTTGGGTAGATATGGCACGGAAGTAAATAAATAGCGACAAGCAGGGATTCATGCGACGGGAAATATTTCGTAAATATTTGTCGAACGGGAGGGATGGTGATGCAATTAATCATACCGATGCTCGGACGTGTGCTGCTTTAAGCGAGGGGTATTTTGATACCTATCAACAGTTGAATGAACTAATGTTGATGTGCTTTGCTTGATTGGTTCACTTACTAGTAATACAAGAGTGTTAATGATAAGTGCGTCAGGAACAAAAGTTAGAAGTTTATTTTAACCTTCATGCTTCATATTAATCATGTATATTTTCTAAGAGCAAGTCTCGAATATTTCTGATATATGTTAAATTCGCTGCTTTTACCCAGCTCCTCAAAGCACTCAAAGGCCCTAAGTCAAATCACCATCTATCGATCTCACTTCCACAACACATTTATTAGTATTGTAATATCTCGAATTTGCATGCTACAATATACTGTACAGTCAAAAACTAACTGTTATCCGGTCATGCAAAGATAGGTATTCTAATGTACAACCAAGATTGTATGCTCAAACGTTGAACCGCCAGTAACTCCATATGCATCTCAACCACCCCTTCTGAACGCCTGGTAAGATTACCATCTCGACCCATGAAAGAGGATGATATTTTCAAAAATCAAAAACTCTACAAAATCCCAAACCATTTCGATCAATCCCAGCCAAATATCATCCCATTACTTAACACTTACTGATTAAAAATCATGGGTGTTCCTCCTAAACTTGGGGCAAGTTGTATGGTATTATATCCTCCAGGCATACCAGCCATAGAACCCATCGAACCCATCTGCTCTCGCTCCATTTTTTCCTGTTCCATACGTGCACGATCAGCTTTCGTGATACGAGATTTACGTGCTGCTGTCGTTCCACCACGAGAACCAACGCCGCCTGATGTACCAGAAGCTTTACCGCCGGAACTAGTACGACTTGTGGTAGTGGTTTTCTCACCAGCCACTTTTGGTTTTCGAGTGCGAGGCTTCTTCGCTGGACCCTCTCCCCTAAATTAGAAGTTAGTCTGACGTAAAAAAAATTCATTTGAGGTTTACAGCACGTACCTGTCAAGTGCCGGTTTCTCGCCTTCTCGAACAAGAGGCCCCGAATACACAAAGAAGCCATCATTTGCAGCGGCAGCTTGTTCCTCCCATAACATTTCAGAATCATCAACAAAACCATCGTCTTTGTCGTACTCATCCTCCTTGGTCTTTCTCTTCGGCTTGGCCTTTCTCGTACCCCCGTCAGTCCCAATACGTCCATCACTCATTCCACCCATCTCAATATTACTAGCCTCTCCTTCAGAATCCAGTGACATCTCATCTCCACTCTCCTTGCTTGAGCCATTTCTCTCCAGGGCTGCACCGGCAGCGGCGACTCTTGCAAGTCGATCACGTTGAGCCGCCAACCGAGGGTGTAAGGCATCCCAACCATAAGTTTCCTCGGCCATACGAGCAAAGTTGACATAAACATTTACTTCACCATCATTCAAGGGGATATCGAGAACGATCGTTGGAGCACGAGTTTCTGTACCATCACTACCTCCGAGCTGCATCAGACCAGAACCAGGGAGTGGAGGTGGGGTAAGAAGAACACTGTCTTTCTCTTTCTCTTTCTCTTTACCCTTAGTCGATGGCTTTGGAGTTGATGTTCCTGAGGCTCCGTTGGTTGTGTTCTTCTTATTCGAGTTACCATTGGGGGCTTGGGGTTCCTTTTGCGACAACATGGTTGGAGCGGGAGGTGGTGTTGGAGCGGGCATTGGTTGTGACGTTAGTGTGGGAGTTGGCGCAAAGGTCCGAGGACTAGCGGAATCAGAAGTTGTTGATAAGCCCAATCGATTAACTATTGGGGAGGCAGGTAAGGAAGTATGTCCATCTTGTTGACGTTGCTGGTGCATTAAGAAGGAATGAGCTGATGGTGAGGTCAATGGCTGATTGGGAGGGTCGACAAGACTGGCGATGGAAGGTGATGCACTGGCGCGATTGGTAACTTGAGGCGGAATTGGTGATCCCTGAGAATTATTGTATGAGTGGTGGCTGACGAGTGTTTCTCGCACAGGATCATAATTAGATCTAACGGGATCATAATTTTGACCGCTGGTTCGAGTGGTAGTCTGTGGTTGTTGTGTTGACATTTGTGACTGAGGTTGAGCCAGATGCTGCTGTGGTTGCGGTGGTTGCGGTGGTTGCGGTGGTGGCGGTGGTGGAGCAACTTGAGGTTGGGGTTGAGGTGGGGCGGAATTAAAGAAAGATTTGGGAATAGCCTCACTTTCTCCTGATTTGGAAATCGTGACGTTCTGTACTGGTGGGGTTGCAGGACCACTAAAATTAATATCACTCAAACGCATTCCAGGAGCATCGGTAATTTTTGTCTGTCGTGATGATTCTCCCCCATTGGTATTTTCAGAAGGCGTAGCCTTCTTTCGTGATCTGGCAGCAGGAGGAGCGTTGGGATCTCTGGGTTTGCGTACTCTTTTAGGTTTTGGTGCGTCGGTATTTGTAGCTGAGCTAGCATCTCCGGCCTTTGGTCTGGGCTTTCTAACTGGTTTCTTGCGGGCAGGCTTTTCTGATGTTGAAGCACCCGTGGTGGAATGATTGACTGTAATGCTATTTAAATCATTACGCAGTTGCATATCATCCATCTCAGGACTTGATCGTGGTGGGGATGATAAATCGGAATTACTGTTGTTGGAACCCATCTGTGGCGAACCCCCGCGAACATCATGAGAATTTGACATTTTTGACCCAAGAACTCAAATTCGTTACAATTTGAATTATTAATAAATGTCTATCAACACCATCTAATTTTGATATTTGATATTTTGAAAGAAATTTGTGTTTCAATTCTGATCCTTTCTGCGTGATTTGAGATTTGGTGATTTGTAACCCGTGTTTCGTTGTTGGCGAAACGTTCGTAGTGGTACCGAGAGTTGCGAAACTTTTCTGAATAGCTTCAATTTTGAGACGTGGATGAGAAAAGTCGGAAATGGTGGTGGTTGATAAGAAGCGAGTTGAGAGGGATCTAGAAGATAGAGGAACAAATAATTGAGATTAGTCGGTATCTAATGGGATTATTTTGGGACCGTGAATGATAGAAAGTCAAAAAGTATCGATGGAATAAAAGATCGATTGAATAGATCTTTGTATATTTTAATGTGGTGTAAAAGGGAAGAAGTAATCAAGATGAAAAAGTTGACGAGTTGTTTTAGATATGGGAGGTTGGAAGGGAGAGGGGGATTTTAGACTTCTTGTACTTTGATCATTTACTACGTTTTGGATTTAATTCAATACAAGCGACATTTCCAATTATTCACAAGACGGCCGGCCCTTGAGGAGTGTCTTCCCGCATGGAAGGCGCAAGGTCAAGGTAAAGGTAAAGAAGAAAGGGAAGAGAAGAGAAGTGGAAGTGGAAGGGGAAGGGGAATTTGGAAGGGGAACTTGGGATGGGGGGAAGAACGGTTGCCGGAACATGAACTGATGAATTAGATGAGAGATGAGAGATGAGCTAACCAGTTAAGTGGACTAGTATGTTATGTAGGATGGAGGAAATAGCAGGAGGTGGTGGTAGTAGTAGTAACAAGTAGGAGCTACCAATCTGCCTATAGGTAGGTACATTGCTAGGTAGTCAGGTAGTTGGCAATTGTTAGGTATTTATTATTTCTTTTATTTCTTCCTGTCCCACCTTTCTTCCACCTGGTCTGGGCATATATATGGGGGCGCTTTTGCTTGGAGTGTCATGACATGGGGGAGGATTTTCGGGGTTCAAGTGTTCCATTGCGGATCCATCGAAGCAATAATACCGTAGGGCACTTTGTATTCCGTGTATGTAGCTATTAGTGCAAAAGATTGGCTGGCTCGTCTTACAGAGAAAATATGATAAAAGGGATCTGTAAACTTGGTTCAATTGATGAGTCGGGAATAGACGAGAGACAAAACGAGACAAGGGAAGGAAAAGGTCTAGTCTATTACTGTACTGTGCCTACCTACCTAGGTATTATACCTAGTACTCTATTCCCTCTACTTTACTACTATCTCGGTACTCAACCCGGAAATTATAAACTAATAAGGATGTAGGGGGAGAAGAGAAAATATTCATTACTACCTACTTTACTTTATCGGGCTAAGAAATATAATGTATGTATATGTGTCTATGTATCTACATCTATTTAGCAATCGCCTTCTTCCACGAAGTACGACTCAATCTCTATGACTACCTGGTAGATGTGTTGTTGAATTAATGCATGTGATTTTGTACCCATTTATATCCAGTTATATCCAACGGAAACGTCAGATAACATCTCCGTATGCGCGATTCCGCATCTAAAAGAAATTCCTCCATTTTCGGGAAATACTTTCATATTCCCCTTTATGTTTGAGTCGTGGATGATGAATAATGTGTTGATGTGGGAATATATGTAAGGTGCCTGATATTCAAGCTTATGTAAGGATACTTTTCACATACATAAACTCGAAGCAAATGTAACAATGAAATTGATATTTGTTTCCATCGAGATGTTGTCAATCGTTGCTCGACGTCTGATGGCTTCCCGAAATAAATCTTTGTGAAATGCAGCTAGTCAGGTACAGGTTAGCGTGAAACCTTAAATTTTTGTTAGAGGCTCACGTTTGAATATCCTAGCAGCCTTGCATACGGATCTTAAATTTCCCCACAACCTACCTACCTAAACAAAAGAACTACAAAAGTTACAATCATGGAGTTTCGTGGTGAGAGATTTACTGTTAATCTTTCAGATGATGAGGATGAAATTGAATCAAGTTCAACTATCCCATCGAATAATGTCCCTTCATTTGCATCTGCTTTCGTCGCAGATATTAAAGAACGTTCTACAAAGCCACCAACAGCTCCTCAATTAAAAACTTCAACAACAGGATTTCCGGAACATAAAAAGCGGATACGAGTATCGGCGTTCAAAAAACAAAGGGCGGCAAATACAAATGAAGCTGTGGCAGATTCTCCCAATGCGTTTGGAGTTCCTCCTTCTCAGGGACGTCCAACGGGCGCAGACGCATCCACGCAGGATGATGAGTTCAGTGTCGACAAGGAAAGGAAAAGAATAGATGAGGAAAACAAAATGAGAATAGCTTCCATGTCAAAGGAAGAAATTGAGCAAGAACAAGAAGAATTACTCGCTACTTTAGATCCTTCACTAATTCAACGACTTTTGAAGAGAGCCAATCTTGATGATGGACGTGGAGATACTGGAATTGATCCCCCGTCCTCGACACAATCTCTCAGTAACGATGAGAACAAAATTTCACCTCAGGAAACTAATGTTGAGGCCATCCCTGCACCAAAACCAGAAGGCAAGCCAGTTGCGCCTCAAAAATCAGTGAGATTTGAAGAAGATGAAGAGCCGGCAAATCCCATAGACCTAAGACCAGCATCCGAGATTAGTTCCAGTGTCCCAGAAATTCCGCAACCATCTTTACATTTTCCAACTGCTTCAGCTGTTCCAGACTTAGATCCGAACGACCCTTCGTTCCTCGAAAACTTACACAAAAAATACTACCCATCACTTCCCGCGGACCCTTCGAAGCTTGCTTGGATGGCACCGATACCTACACATGGTTCTGTAGCGGATCAAGAATCTCCTTATTACCCAGCAGCTGAAGCTTTGGCAGCTTCAGCTCTTCGATATGACTTTAGGGGTGGTTTATTGCCGCCAAGAATTGCAAGAGCTATGCCAATTACAAAAGGTCTACATCATCATGGTGAGGCTCCTGAAGCAGCTGGGTATACAATTCCGGAATTAGCAAGGTTAGCTCGCTCTGCATTCCCAGCTCAAAGATGTATTGCATTCCAAACTCTGGGAAGGTTTCTTTACAGGTTGGGTAGAGGTGAGTGGGGAGATAGTGGTACTGAGATGTCGAAGGGCTTATGGAGGCTTGTGGAAGAGGGTAAAGTTATCCAAAGTCTTGAAGAGGCTGCCAATGCCGAAGGGGGGCATCAAGGTAGCAAGGCCTATGCGATAGAAGCTTTATGGCTATGGCAGAAAGGGGGTGGACATATCTGGAAGGCGGATTGATGAGCTACGATAAATGATTTCGGTCTATGTATTATGATATTCTACAAAAGCTTTTGGAAATTTTTCTCAATTCTTGTACCATGATTTTAATGACTATACCTAACAAGCTGGTTGTGTTTTACTTCCTTCATCTTCTCTTTGCATATCTTGGTATTTGTTTCAATGTCCAAATAAAATCCAACTTTGTATTTGCCTATAGCTTTGCCAAACTATCTGCAAAACCTATAACAATAGGTAAATATCCAGGTCTGAGCATGGAAGGCATTGAAACATATGATCTTGAACTCTCAAACAAACTAAACTAGAACAAGAAAACCCCAAATAGAATAATAGCATAATAAAAGTCACAAGCGAGTGAGTGAAAGGCAATTAATTTAATTAGCCACCCTTTTTTAAAAAAATTCCTATAGTTATTTATCTATTTACAAGCTGTTATAATGTGATATTCATTAATGGCATAACGGAAGAGGAGAGGAGAGTTTTGCACCTTCTTACTGGATGATAAGATTTATGTATATGTCTTTTTGATAATTTTTCTACAGTTTGTTGTTTTTCTTGCTTTTTTACATTTTTTTTATTAATCGGGTATCTTCGAGTATGATTTTATTGTGGATGTATTTTATATTATTGTTTTCGATTTGAGGGTAGGATTTTTTTGGTATTGGTATTGTGATTGTGATTTTTTTGTTGAGTGAGTATAGTATTGTTTTTTTTTAACGGGGCATTGATATTGGTATTGGTATTGGTATTGATGTCAAGAAAAGGGGAGGACTCATTATATCCTTTGGATGTTACAGAACTAGGTACTGTTTATAACAGAGTCTTGAAGTAGAGTTACTCTGGGATTCTGGGGGTTACTCTCGGAGTCTGCTTTGGTTTGGTTTAGTTGCTTGGAATTTGATACTTGATATTTGTCTCTCTAGCTTTGATATTGTTCAGTGTGAAATCTATACTTGTGCTTATAGTTGAGCAGGTGGATGGGGGGAGAAAGTGTTAATTGGAAAGAAGAAGAAGAAGAAGAAGAAGAAGAAGAAGAAGAAGAAGAAGAAGAAGAAGAAGAATGTACCCAGTAATTCTAGTACCCAACACTCGCAAGGAGATTATCAAAATAGATATTAGCAGCACAGCGTATAATCATCATACCCTTGAAGTTCACAAGACTCTTCTCTGCAACAAGATCAAACACTTCAACTCAATCCCCAATGAACATCTCACAGACAAACCTTTGAGACCCCTTCAAATACAACCAACATCCTCCGCCTTACTTCTCAAATAGATCCAAACCAGTAAACACGCACCCATCAAAATAGAAAATGAACTCCTTGCCTCTATGACTCCTATCATCCTATTCTCTATTAGCCAACGAATTCCGATCCTCCCAATTAACAAATAACACTATCCATAAGTGAGTATCCTAATATCCAACTATACAAAACACAACGCGTTAAAGCTTACCGAAAAAAGAAGGAATTTTGGTATACATGTACACGAAACCCGACTCGAAGTTTCGTTCGTTCATTCATTCATTCATTCATGTCTTTCTCAGTGGCTATTAGCTTATTAGCTACCAATGAATCTTTGTTGAGATTGGATAAAAGAGCTTGAATGGAGTATTTTGATTATCGGAATTGGATTTGGGGAAGGATGTGTAGAGTTGGTTGAGTAGGATTAAAACGGAATATTTAAAGGGGGTACTGGGACAAAATCAGAAGGTTTCCGCTTCGTCTCTTCGATTCTTGGTGCCTTCAAAGTGTAGTTTTCATGTCCATTCTGAGGGAGTGGCATGTGCATTCATGGGAAATATATTTTGACGGGGATTAAGAAATTTTATCATGTTCTTACTCCTTCTTAGAAGTCGACACTGAGCAAAAGTGCATGGAGAGCTCGATACCCATTAACGCGCGCCTGTGAATACCCTGATCGATTCGCTTGTTCTCAATCTTTACTAAATAGATTAGTTATTATAATAGTGATTGGAAGAATTAGTATGAGTAATGCCAGTGCCTTAAATTCCATCAACGGTGTTTTCCTTTTTTGAATGAAATATAACCTAATATACATCCGATCACCTAACATATTCCATCATTAAGGAATTTTTAAATTTCGTTCCCTCATAAGACCACTTCGTAGCCAATCATATCCGTAACATCATAGCAAATCTCATTGAAACTTAGTCTGCCCTCTTCTTGGAGTCCCCCTCAACCTCACCCGCGCTACTAGCACTAGGTGTTTTCAACCCTTCGCCGTTAGAATTATTCATACCACCTGTATTTTCATCCTCATCCCAAGCATCCTCCCCATTCTCGTCCCAATTATCAACCTCTTCATCTAGTGTCCTCGACGCTGCAGTCACACCACTCTCCTGTGCTCCCACTCCCTCTCCCAGTTCCAAGTCTTGATCTTCATCCCCAGGTACCACATGATACGTCTTTGCTAACCGTTTCCGCTCCAACATCCGTAAATGATACCAACTACATAGTGCTACACCAGCTAGCGAACCCACGATATTTGCGACAATGTCGTAAAAATCAAAGATTCGGCCATTGGGCAAGAAACCTTGGAGGAATTCAGAACCCACTCCAAGAATGCCAGTGCAGAATATGAGAGTAAAGTTGAGGGTTCTTCGACGATTGGTGTCGAGAATCCAGTAGAAGACAACGGTGAGAATGAAGAAGGTTACAGTATGTAGGACTTTGTCGTTGATGACTGCGTCGACTTGAATGGATGTTAAACCCGTATAACCAGCGAGCAAGAGAAGGAACAGGAATGCTCCTATTGTGAAGACGGTGTGTTAGTTTTGAGGATCTCTGGGGAAACGGAGAGTGCATTATGGATAGGATAGAATAACATGGTGTGGAGAAGGAGGGGAGGGACAAGGAACTAGGAGTTTAGCTAGAGTGTGATTTACCTGCAAAGGGTAGCCTTATGCGCATTTTCCTGGAAATCCTTTTCTTTTCTTGATAGTTCTCAGTCGAATCTTCTGCGTTAATAAAGCATCACTGCTACTTTCAAAGCAAATTGTTTGAGTAACGATGGAGTAGTTGAAGCCTTGGGGATACGGAACAGTGGTTTTCTTTATGGTTGTGTTGAGACAAGCTCTCTTGTGTTCAAACAGAGTTCAGAGCTTCTGGTTAAACCTGGCAACTTGCAGGTCCTTCTCCATTTCCATGTGGGTTGGCTGCAGCTTTCAGATAACACCTGAGGTTTGGTTCGTCTATCTCGCTTGTCTGGGTACACCTATCACTCCATCTGGCACGGACCAGTATCTTCAATGTTGAATATGGAGATTCCAGTACGAGGTACTAGGTAGGTTATCTTTAATTCGACCTGTACATAGAAAAATAGAGAGATAATTGAATTGTAAATATTTGTATTTGTAAATTGTGATGCATTGTAATTGTCTATAAATTTTGAGGATATACCAGTCCAGATATGAAGAGCATCAATGAAAAATCATGGTCCAAATGGTGCTTGATTCATTGTCTTTTCTATACACTACGACTGCTAGATTTCTAGGTAAGGGAATCACAGACAACGTCCTACAACCACCAATTCTAACCTCATCTCCAGAACTTCATCAAACCAACAACGTCAACGCCAGAAAATAATCAATATTTTGCGCAAATCTGATACAAAGATGCGCACAATATCGAATCCAATTTAAATCACGAAAAGGCGACAACTCTAAGACGGTTTGTCGCGACCGAGAGATTTGACGTTATGGGCGGCGGAGAGAGGGGACTTTTGTCTCGCTCTGGGGTATCCGGACACAACTCTTCCATCACGAATGGCACGTCATGGCAACCTTCCTCATCGAATATAATTCATCCCCAAAAGTCTTACCAAAATAAAAACAATACTCCTCCGCGATCGCATACTCCAAGTATATTCGATGCCACAATGGCTGACTCGGCCAACGTACAGGAGGAGGAAAGTCAAAGGACAATATTTAAAGAATTATATCGCCGCAGCGAGGCAAAGTTAGCGGGTTTGTTTGGAGGTGGTGATTATACTGCAGATGCCGATGAATTTCAAGATGTCTCGGCACAAGATACACAATTGGTCGAAGATGAAACCGCCATTGAACCGGCTAAGCAAGCACAACCACCAAAGAAGCCGGCGCGCGCCATAGATGAAGACAATTATGATGATGACGATGATGAAGAGGAGGACGGGCAGCAAGATTCCCCCTCGAAGGGAAGAAGCGCGAATGCTTTGTTGTCGCCCTCGAAGTCTGGGAGTTCTCCCATTCAATCTGACTTATCCCCTTCAAAGAACGCGGAACAGAATAAGGATGATGCTGCAAGCGACCAACCTAAAACTTCTGAAGATGCGCGCAAGAAGTTGGAAGAGGAGAAGAAGGCCATCGAGGATGCTGCCAAGCGCAGCTTCAATACCATATTCTATACATTGGAGAATGATCGGATAGCTATGCTAGAACAGCAAAGGCTGGAGGAGTCCGAACGGCAAACTGATGCGGAAATGGACAACAATGGGAATACTGGACCTACTAGTAACAGGCAGGCCGAACAACACAGTTCTTTGGCCAATGCTGAGATGGGCGCATCGAGTTTGACGTTGAAGAATCTCTTTGCTCGCATTGATGCAAAGCGTGACAGGGTTCAAGCTACGGATATGGAGCTGAGAGCCTTGATTAACGAAGTCCGTAAGAATAGAAGTAAATGGGCCAATGAGGACAACGTAAACCAGGAAGAATTATACGAGGCTGCCGAGAAAGTTTTGAGTGAACTCAAGGCTATGACAGAATACTCGGCTCCCTTTCTTGTCAGGGTTAACAAGCGCGAGGCTCCTGATTATTACAATGGTAAACCTCATAGTTCATACATACGTAGTTCTGGCGCTGACATGAAACAGTTATCAAGCAACCCATGGACCTCGGCACAATGACTAAGAAGTTGAAGTCGTTGGTATACAAATCTAAGAAGGAATTTGTTACTGATCTCGACTTGATATGGGAAAACTGCCTCAAATATAATGGGGCAGATAAACATCCTCTGCGAAGAAATGCGGAAAACATGAGGAAAGAGGCCGCAAAACTTATTCCTCTAATTCCAGATCTTATCATTCGACCTAGAGCAGAAGTGGAAGCGGAGGAACGTCGTAAACAGAACGGAGGCGATGATGCCGATGAAAGTGATGACGAACCTATTATGTCTTCTCGAGGTCGAGGTGAAGGCGGTCGAGGTGTAAAGGGATCTGCCAAGTCACGAAAGAATGCTTCCGGACGTGACAAAAGCACTCCGGTTGTCGACAAAAAGCCTGCTATTCAACTCAATGGTGTACTTGGAAGTCTCAATCAGGACGGTTGTGAAGTAGAAGGTAGTCAAAATGGCTTTTCTACTCCAGTTCCTGGTGGTTCAGTAACACCCAGTGGTATGAATGGTGTTGCTAGTCAGGTTGATGGCATGGATATCGATGTTCCTTCAATCAATGGTCTAGGTTTGCCTCAGGGATTCGGAGGAGAAGATGTCCATGAGGATGAAGAATATAAAATCTGGAAACAGGTTACCAAGAAAAATCGTGCTATGGTTGCTAAGGAACGAAACCGATTGTTCAAAGGTGATAAATTGAATCCCGATGAGCCTGCTCTTTTGCGAACCAAAGCCGGGATGCGGAGATGGCTGCGCCAACGAAAGCAAGATGATCCGAGTGGCTCAAAAGCTGAAGGTGTCGTGGAAGATAAACCTGCGAAACAAGGCGCAGAGACTCTTGCCGAAGGTATGGAAGGCGAAGAAGAACATTTCTTGCCTGACTATTATGATCCACTATCAGCTATTCCAGATATCAACCCAAAATTGCAATGGGTGGAAGATGCAGATGGTAATCTAGTTGAGCAGTCGGATGAATTTCTTCGAATGGTACCTGCTGGACACTTTACAGCACCGAAAAGTTTCTTGACCAACAAGGTTGAGGCTAATATGAAGCAAATGCAAGAAACCAGAAAGTTGTGTTCTAAGATCGGCGTTATAAAGCAGATGCAATTGCAGGCACAGGTAAGACCTACGGCTTTGGCTGTATGTTGAGTTTTACTAATTTTCCGTTTCAGATGTACAACAATCAATTCCCTAAGTATGAACCTGAACCATTTGTAGAAACAGATATCGAACCACATGTCACTTCAGATGATGGTCCTATCATGTCTTCCTGGGTTTGCAAAGCTGCAATGCAACGATCTGTTGCCAAGCTATGCTATCATGCTGGTTTCGAAGAATTGCAGCCTTCTGCTCTAGATGTCATAACTGACATTGCTGGAGATTTCTTTGGTAAAATTGTCAAAACCTTTGGTGTCTACCGAGAAGCGCATAAAGTCCCTGCTGCACCTGGCTCTGGAAGTAAATGGCAAGACCGTTACTCTAATGAAGAAGTCGTCTTGCATACTTTGGGTGAAAACGGTATGGATATAGAAGCCCTGGAGAGCTATGTCAAAGATGATGTTGAGCGTTTGGGAACCAAACTTTCAGTCATGCACGAACGCATGAAAGCACATCTTACAGATTTACTCAGACCTGCTTTAACAGATGGAACTCAGGATGGATCTGGTGCATTTAACGAGGGTAGTGAACAGTTTGTTGGTGGTGATTTCGCTGCGGAACTTGGTGAAGATTACTTTGGGTTCAAGGCACTCGGTTTGGACAGTGAATTCTCAATGACTAGTCTTGGCGTACCGTTACATCTCCTCCATACGAGAGTACGTAGCGCCTACCAAGGACCAGCCGCAGCTGCGCCACAAGCTGAAATATTCCAACCACTGCCTCCTCTACCACCTATTACCAGGGAAAGCATAGCCAGTCAAATTGGCCTCGTCAGGAATTTCTTTCTCGCCAAGCTACACGCAAACGATGATGAACCTCTGGTGGAGGACGAAGAACTCACTGGAAAACAAAAACCAACGCGTCCACGTCTTGGTCCAACGGGTAAAATCACTAGTCCTCGCAAACGTCCACTAAAAGAACAAAGTGGCAATGCGAAGAAAAAGAAGAAGCTAGATAATGGTACAGCAATTGAACCACAATCTTCAGCTAAAACTGGTGTAAGTGGAAGTCCGCAAAAAGGAGACGGTAAGAAGGTCAGACCTGGTGTACCGAATGGTGGGGGAGGATCTGTGTCGGTGGATGGAGTGGAAAGTCAGGATCTTAATAGTCCGATTGAAAAAGATGATGGGACTTTAGGTCCAATGAGTCCCGAAAGTATTATTGAACGGTAGTTGGTTTGGGGATGTCGTGATATATAAAAGTTATATTTAGGGACGGTGGTTGTATTGTCTTTGTGTATGTGGGTGGTGTTGTTTGGGTGGGTGGCTATTTATGGGAAGATGGAATGTTAAACTGCGCATTCACTATTATATCAGGTATTCCCTCGAATCGAATTGAGGATGATGGCAATAAGAGCGGAGTTCATTCACTTTGATATTCATTCGTTTATTTACCCTTTTTCACAAGAATATAAAGAAGTAGCTTGGATATGGATATGGATTTGGGAAGGAGGAGGGGGATGGGCTTGGGCATGGTATGAATAGCGGGTGATGGATAACTCGAGCATATTAGTACATATGGGATAGGATGGTATCGGACAGGATGGATAGGACTAGTATGAAAGGGGTGGATTTTTCAATCAAGTACCTGTCAGTAGGCAGGCTCGGATCGGGAGAAGCGGAATACCTATAGTATCGACTGGGTATCGATAAAGTGGTCATTCAGATTTTGAACTGAGAGTGCATGTTGCTTTTGCTCGGAGATTAGAGCAGAGTAGAGCAAATGGTGCGAAGCAGAGTAGGGCAGGGCAGTGCAGAGACTCCCTTTAGTTAATTTATTCATGTTATGTGTATTAAGATTTATTTTTGTCCTTTTTTTATTTAAAATGCGGGTGATGTTCCTTGGTGGTTTTTGATATTTAAAGCTTGAGATTTCTGTTTTTAATGGAAGTGAATCCGATTTATTATGTTTTAGGTCGGTAATTGAGATTTTAGGGGCGGTGATTAGAGGATGTGGGAAGGGAAGGGAAGGAGAAAGGAAGGGAAGGGATGAGGAAAGGAAGAGGGGGAGAAGGAAGTAAAAGAAATTTTGCAGCGAAATGATTGTATTGCGGAGATTGAAAATCGGAAATATATTCATTATGAATGGTATTTTGAAGGGTTAGCAATGAAGATGACGACGGGGGCGGGGATTCGAAATTCGGGTGCTGATTTGGGGTGAGGGAGCTTTTTGTAATGTTGGATGGATGGCATGGAGTTGGTAGAGGCTATAGGATAGGAGATGCATAGTCCCAGCTGATATGGTCTGGATACGCTAGCTAGCTAGGTAGTGGGAGTTCTTTGCTGGAAGTTTTTCGTCTGGGAGTATCGGATGTTGGGATGGATGGGTTGCTTTTGGGAAATGTTTTATGGTGTTTGGGATATCTTATGATATCTTATGGTACTTATGATTCTGTATTTATTGTAAGATGAAGATACTTACTTATTGTGCTGTTGTTTATGGATACTAGTACATGATACACAAATATGATGTATGATATATTATACGATACACGATATTCCTATCAATTGAAGATGAAGAATAATGAATAATAAATGATATATATATATTTCGATAGAACCTCACCTCCAAACATCCTTAAAAGAAGTCCCCCCAAAAAACCCCAGTTAAAATATCTCGAAATAATATTTTTTGGGTTTTCAAAAACCACCCGTCCGCACAATGTCCAAGCTATCGTCTGGGTCGCAACCCTTTAAAATACTTGAAACTCGCTACCTCTATTCTATAACACTACTTCTGCTATCTGTTATCAGCATTGCCTTTTGCACGATCTGGTCGGTCGAGAGAAAAGTGTACATGTCGTCGCTGAGGTAGTCACCTTCTACTATACCTTTGAGAGCGTTGACTTTTATCGGCCTATGATCCAGGTCCACGTTCACGTCGTCACAGATTGCCATTCTACTCCCTGCAAGCACAGCCTTCATATCATCTGTGAGATTGATGGCTGTGCTGGTGAAGGAGACGGATGGTTGCACACAGCAGTACCTTTATATACGATCCTATGGTACCGAATATGGTACTCTTACCCGTACCACCTGCAGTTGCACCGAACATGATCAGTGCCTTGGGCCTACCCGTTGGGTCTATGAGGCTATCACCGATGTGCCAATTCCAAGTTTCTATGATATCCGTGTCGTTGTCGAACAGGGGTAGCTAAATGAAGCTTTCTATGTTCCCGGCGAAAGAGCATATTCACCTGACGGGCAACTTTACGAAGCTTGAGACGTCTGTAGTTACCCGTCTGACATGCTCGAGCTCGGGCATCCTCGAATGTGAAATCATCTGGGAGACTGTCGCGATCTGAAGCTCATCGTCTTATGCCTGGTGGTCACATAGTTCATACAGAGTACATACATGGAGTCTATGCGGACGAACAGTATGACGTCCAGCTCAGTGGCGTTATTGGTGTTACATGTATTCCTGTAATCATATCTATCTGGAGGAACTTATGAATGTATAAATATATTCAAGTATTCAAGTATGCTTTAGAATCTTGATCCCTGATGGGTTTTGACAACCTGATATTTAAATGTCAAATTTGGAAAGAGAGAGGTGGCTACCTAGTAGGTGGGTATCTACTATCTAGAGAGATGTATAAAATTGTAATTCAGAATCATATGAAGTAAGATCTTGTAAAATCATATTCATATGCATTTCTCTTTACAAATCCCACATGGAATCCTTATATACGGAAATCGGCCTTTGACATTTTCCCTTTTCTCTAGCCTGATGTAGAATTCAAAAATCCATGGGGGTATCATGACATGTTTATATCTAGTATGTAGCATACCTTGTATACTCGGTAGTAAATGATGGATTGGATATTTAAACGCCCATGGCAATGCAAATACAAAAACAAATGCTCCCATCCGTGCATACATACATACATACAAACTTTTGTATATAAATTATAAGATTACATTCCCGATGATGAAATGAACGCCCTGCTTTTTGGGACTTTTTGATGTTTTGCTTTCATTTTGGCTTTTCCAGAAGGGGAAAAGGAAGTGGGTTCATGGAGATATATGATTATGTTTCATTTTATGCAACGGCCTGAGACTGTGAGACCGGGGACTCGGATTGTAGTTTTATTATCTAGGAGGGGGAGAGAGTGTTAGTTTTGATCGGGGCGGGGCGGGATTGGTGGGGGAGGAAGAGGGAAGGAGGGGGAGGAAGAGGGAAGGAGGGGGTGTAGGGGATATTAATGGGAGATGGAGATGAGGAATAAGGGTGAAGGAGGGAGGAGGGAAGGAAGAGGAAGGAGGGTGAAAGAGATATTAATGGGAGACATAGATGGGGAGTTAGGGGAAAGAGAGGAGAAGCGAAAGGAAAGCGGAAATGGGATACGAGAAAACATACCTCCATCTTCAAACCATCACTTTTATCCTGTACATCTTTAATAGCTTGTTCGACTCTTTTTCTGATTAGGTGAAAAGTACGTTAGTAAACTGCTCTTATTCTTATTCTCATCCTCATTATATTCCAAATCTCCCCTCAAAACTCCTTGTCGAAATCCCCGGAGGTAGAGGGGATGAAAATCGTAGAAGAAAGTATATAGGAAGAATGTGGCACTTGGGACATGGAACATATGGTATAGGAGAATATATACGCACATTTCCTTCTCGATAAATTCTAAACGTCCGTCAACGGCCATAACAGCTTCGGTTTTATCTTGTTTTAGGAGAACGGGACCGACGAGCTTATATATGTTGGAGTCGGAGGAGAGGGCGGCGAATTCCTGAGGATGGTTAGTGAGCGGTTTGGACTGAGAAGAATGGTCATGACGATGAGGTGGAAGAAAGGGAACGGATGAAGTGAACTGTACTTTTTGAACGCCCTTATTTTCTTGTTGTTGAGATTCGAGCTTTTGGCGCGAGGAGATCGAATTTTGGAGATCTGGAAGAGGTTAGTATGTGTGATGCAGGGGACAAGTACTGAGGAGACACATACCTGTTTGGAGTTTTTGATATTCCTCCGTGAGGACTTGGAGACGTTGTTGTTGTTCTGCCATAGTGAGGATTGAGGATGTGAAGCTACTTGATCTCTGGGATGGAATTTGAGGGTTTAGATAGGTTTATTATGTGCTGCGGTGATTGCTTTTCCTGTGAGAAAAATGCTGCGACAATATATCAATCGATTATGATTTTGATTACCACAAACAACCCTCTTCAAAGTGTAGTCGTAGAAAAGTAAAACAATTTGTCTTTGAATAATATTCCAATATCAAAATTTCCCAAGTTTCTCTTATCGAATATCAAGTTATTGACATGATGTCTAGCGCAATCGCGGGGCAACCAAGACACCGCCAAGCTCAAGCGATAACCCAGACTTCACAAGTTCTAATTCCCTCCGCAAACTCAGTTACCAAGACACATAGGACGAGAATATCATGCGCAGAGAGAGCCTCATTTTCAGTTCGGTCTATTAATATCCATTTCCACAGTTCTTCAATCTGTAGTTTGGAGTTCCTTTGTTGTTCAAGGTTACCGTCGTCATTTTACCGAATTCGCAACCTACTCAAGTACAACAACATCCAAGCCAAAGGTCAACACTGCTATTCTTCGACCAGAAAGTAGTACCGTGTAAAATAATTGATAGGAATCTCATTTCTACCTGGACGAGCACCTTCTTCACCTACACATCATCATAATACACACAAACCCCACCCTCAACATGTCAAACACCGATTTCCTCGGCCGCGCCATAGACGTGGTTAAAAAAGCTATCGAAGCCGACACTGCAGCCGAATATGATAAAGCATACCAGCTCTACTACCAATCCCTCGAACTCTTCATGCTCGCACTTAAATGGGAAAAGAATGCCAAATCTAAGGAAATGATCCGCGCCAAAGCAGGTGAATACATGGAACGAGCCGAAAAACTAAAAACACATCTTGCAGAGGCGGATGGCAAGCGGAAGAAACCTAGTATGATGGGTGCGAATGGGAGTTCAACGGGAGGAAAAGCAAATGAAGAGGAAGGAGATCCGGAAAGTAAGAAACTGAGAAGTGCATTGCAAGGTGCGATTTTGCAGGATAAACCGAATATTAAGTGGGAAGATGTTGCGGGTTTGGAGGCAGCGAAGGAAGCACTGAAGGAGGCAGTTATCCTGCCAATTAAGTTCCCGCATTTGTTTACGGGGAAAAGACAACCTTGGAAGGGTATTCTGCTTTATGGACCACCAGGGACGGGAAAGAGTTATTTGGCTAAGGCAGTGGCTACGGAGGCAAATAGTACGTTCTTCAGTGTGAGCAGTTCGGATTTGGTTAGTAAATGGATGGGAGAGAGTGAAAGGTATGTTTCTTGATTTTGAATATTAAGCTGGGGCATGTCTGATCATTGAAACAGATTAGTTAAACAGTTATTTACCATGGCCCGGGAAAACAAACCCTCTATTATCTTCATTGATGAAGTAGACGCTCTTTGCGGGCCTAGAGGAGAAGGAGAATCGGAAGCCTCAAGACGTATCAAAACGGAAATGCTTGTACAAATGGATGGTGTAGGAAGAGACAGTCGAGGCGTGTTAGTTCTAGGTGCTACAAATATTCCCTGGCAACTAGATGCCGCCATTCGACGTCGTTTCCAACGTCGTGTTCACATTTCCCTCCCCGATTTACCTGCACGAACAAAAATGTTCGAGATCAGTGTCGGTACCACACCTTGTGAACTAGTGGCATCGGATTACAGGAAATTGGGAGAATTAAGTGAAGGTTACTCTGGAAGTGATATTAGTATTGCGGTTCAAGATGCTCTCATGCAACCTGTACGGAAGATTCAAACTGCTACACATTATAAAAAGGTATGTTTCCCGCATCTCACCCCGCAAATCCATTTCTCTGCAATGCGAAAAAGTAACTAACACCCCGAAAAGGTCATGGTCGACGGCGTAGAAAAATTAACCCCCTGCTCGCCCGGCGACGCTGGCGCTATGGAAATGTCATGGACAGAAGTCGATTCAGACAAACTCCTCGAGCCACCCCTTCAAGTAAAAGATTTCATCAAAGCCATCAAGGGAGCTAGACCTACCGTCTCACAAGAAGATATCCAGAGGAGTACGGAATGGACAAATGAGTTTGGTAGTGAAGGTGCTTAATTTCTCTCTTCCATTGAATTTAATTAGTACAATGATTGGTTGAACAAGCAAACAAGCAAGCAAGTGATCAAGTAATAGCGAAAAGAAAAAAAGTTGCAAGCTCAACGGGAAGTGCTACTGAGAGCGATAGGAGGAAGAGGAGTATAGGATATGGCATGGTGGCGAGTATGGCGTTTATAAAGGGATAGCGTTCTAAACCGAATGAACGTCGGCATGATTTAAGAATGCCTCGACTTAAGAAAGGCGAAAAGCTACAAGAAGAATACAATACAATACATATATGTCAATAATATCCACGTCTCACACTACACTTTTGATAAATACAGAGTCCAAGTTCAGGAAGATGACAAGAGAAGAAAGTAGAAAGAAAAATTATCCAAAAATGTATCGAGTTAATATGCTTTTTTCCAATTTTATGCACCTCATAGTGTCTGTCGTCTAGCCATTTAAAGTACCTACGTATGCATGCAAGCAAGAAAGCCAGAGAGATACGGTAAGTAAGAAAACAAAAAGTATTCCTCAACGCCGATAATAACACAGCTATACTCCGCCAAAGTGACCCAGCTGCAGTGCCCGAAATTTACAAGATAGAGAGAAAGGAAAGGGAGAAGGAGAAGACGTCTAAACCATGTGATGTGTACAATGATGAAGAAGAAATTTACTCCGCCTTGCTCTTCTTCTTCTTCTTCTTCTCACCCTCCTCTTCACCGTTGGCTTCACTGTGTCTTCTCTTTTTGTCTTTCTTCTCGCTTTTTTCGCTCTTGTCTTTCTTTTCCTTCTTATCCTTTTTGTCCTTTTTGTCTTTGGATTTCTTCTCTTGCTTGGAAACGGATGTAGGGGCGATATCGGCCATTTCGGTGTCTTCGGCGGTTGGGTCCTCAACGTTGATGTCACCGAGAACAGCATCCATTGCTTTTTTCTATTAAATATGTTAGCCAAGAAATCAAGAGTAGCAAATCTTCATAATTCTTACCATTGCATCTTGGTTCTTTGTTGGTGCGGTACCGGTGGCGTAGAAATCTAATCTTTCTTCGACTTGAGCTCTCAGTGCCTCACCAAATTTGTTGGTTGGTGCCTCAGAAAAGTTATCGATTCTACTTGCGATACTGCACTTGTTTGCCAAAAATCTGGAAATGCGTCCCTTGTTCTTTGCGCCTGCACGACCGATGAAGCTGGAGTGGTAGATCAATCCATATTTGGGTGTGTTACCCTTGGTCTTGAGTGCTCTGAACAATGCCTTCTCAGCACCGAGAATTTGGACGGTGGAAGCTGGGTATTTTGAAAGGTTGGTGAGGGAACCGGCATGGGAAATGAGTCTAGCAGCAACAACCTCACCGATCAGAGCAGCCAAGTTAGGTGCAACAATGGCCATCTTGTCGGTTAAGTATTGGAAAAGGGACCTTCTGTATTCGGCAAGTTTGACAACACGGTTTGCGAAAGCGGAAACATTCTCCATGTCGTTTACCGAGATATCTTGACCCATAGAAACCTTTGCAGCATCAATGATTGCTTGCGCGATATCTCCATCATCGTTAACAATAGCGGCAATGTCGTGTAATTGTTCGTCGTTCAAGTTCTTCTTGTTACCAATCGCCAATGCAAGCTTGGCATATGTGTGGTTATCCGAGACGATTCTAATAAGTTCTGGGAAGTGCCATCCGTACCATTCACGGACACGCATGGAGAATGTGTTGACGGCCTTGTCGAGGTGATCCAAAGTAGCAATAGCTTGAATAATGTGGTTATCGTTCTTCTGAACCGAGAACTTAACCTTAGCGCGCGAATATGCGTGTCCAAGACCTAATTGAGCTCTCTCGACATCACCCTCTTGTAGACCCTTCAACAATTTTGGTGCATGTAATCGCAATCCTCTGAGCAAGTCTGCGACAACTTCGGAGGTTTCACCAGTCTCGCAAGAAACACCTGGAAATTCCTCCTTGATGCTACCAGCCAAAGTCTTGTCGGAAACTCCGAGAATAACCTTCTTCTTCTTCGATGGCTTTGGCATGTTCAATTCCAAGTTTGACTTTAAGTAATCGGAAAGTACACCCTCGGAGATCATGTTGATATTTTCGAGCGCCTCAGCAGCATTTCTAGAGTAATTGTCAATTCAAACACTCCGCTCTGTAAAGCATTGAATAGCTAACCTGTATGGCGCAAAGTTGACAAGCTTGACCATTTTGCCAAATTTCGCGAGATCTTGACCTGCATCTTGAACTTCCTTCAATCGATTGCCAATGGTGTCAGCTTGGTGCACAACCTGAAAGATTGCGAAACCAGTGGCCGACTCATGGAGAAGGTAATCAACGGCAGACATTTTGTCGATATTATGTTGTCGTTGTTGGTGGTTAATTTGTTGATTTGAAAGTTAAGCTTCCACAAATTTTCAAGAAAGCTTCTGGGATTATTTTTTTCGTCGTGGGATGCCCGTGAAATGCGCTAGGCTCGAAATATTGTCAGTAGCTTTTTCCGACGTGTCACGTGATAATTATCGCTTAGTCTTAACCCTTTTACAGTTGAACCCCGAACTTGAATTTTAGACTTCACATACTCTACCACACAGCACTTGGGAATAGCTTTGGCAGCTCCTCACATACGGCAATATGACCATGATATCTGTATGAATATTGTTAATGCTATTGTGTTTGCCAAAGTGAGGGAGGTCATACGAGACAATCTACACGGAAATATGTTTGATCTCCCTCATAGAATCTTCGAAATGATTCAACCGTTGTGAACACAATTTTCCTGCTTGATAAGGACTCGTGATTGGCTTTGTATTGCGGAGCATAGTTCCATGCAGCACATAAATCGATTTGAATCTATTATCCAAGAATCACAATGGAGTGGAAGGATTCGATTGCTCAATGAGATTTGCCGTCTTCTTATGTTTGGATCTATGTTTCATGAGATGGCAGCGCAGTATCTACCTTTTCTTGCAATCATGAAACCAAAATAAGTGTTAAAAGAATCCTTTCCATTTCTTTACCTACCCCTCTAAATACAAACATCTGAGCTGTTAAATATTGTATGGTATTTCATTGGCTAGTCTTGGAAGTTCCGCTGTACACCATTGCTACTAAACACAATGTTAAAAGTATTCACTTATACAATGATATTCAGTCTCGTCCAATGAGCATCATATCTTGCTTCATCTTTGCAGTAGTAAAGTTGATTGGGTCTCTTGTCGATTAAGCTACGATGGCTGTTCTGCTCTTGATCTTTAGTATTTATTCCCTTTCCCTTCCTCTTCACACCACCGTCAAATATCATCAATGCATCCAATAGTTCACGATGGAGAACATTAACAATCCAGTGGCAATTCCTGTTGACACATATAATGAAGGTAAGCAGAATGTGTTATTGTTTGATTTAGATTTTACCTCTTGTTATTCCCTTTTGAACAAGTCACACTCCAGTCATATCTCCATTACAATTATGCTAGTCTCAAAGTCTTAAATCCTTTATTAACATAACATCAGTAGAATCCCAAATGGTTGTTGGTAGCGGAAGGGATAGCAATCGAGTTAATTCTCAATGTGCTCAATCTAGTCTACAACTCACCTGCGATCTTTCCCATCTTTCTGCCCAGGGCGTGGGCACCGCTCCCGGTGAAAATATCACTCAAGATGCCCTGCAAACTCACGTTGTTATCCCAGGTACGATCGAGGATGCTATTCGTATTTGGGCTAAGGTGCGGGCCAAAGTTGAAAGGTTTTACGCGGAGATAAGACCTGAGGTTGATCTGCATGAATCCAGTCGACCGACAGAGCATGTATTCATCTTCTTTCCCTTACTCGCCAAAGAACTACAACTCCAAATCTGGAAAGAAGCTGCAATTCCAAAGAGCACCAATCTCGACATTATCACCGAAGTATTATACCGTCCTGGTACAAAAGCACAACCAAATCCTCGATTCATTCCAAACAAGCAATATTCCCCCATGTTCCACACCTGTCGAGACTCACGTGAACTGTTGCTCAAAGAATTTTACACTCATACTATTCAGTACGAAAACGAGGGTCTCCGAGTTCCGTATGCACCAGTCTACTCTCACTGCGACGATATTATCTATCTCCAAATAGACAGTAGCGAATATTACACCACATTGGTGTGGGAACTCCAAAATCCGCAGTCCACTATCTTCAACGCCGTTAACAAGGTGTGACAAATCTGGCTATCAATCTCGATATCTGGTCCTGCTACGGTCTAATCCGTGAAATCAGTATCCTCAAGAAGCTCAAGCGCTTGATTTTCGTGGTTAAGTCTCCGTTTCGGGTTCGTAGGGGAAGACATTTGCGTATGTGCCCAGTGGATAATTCAAAACCTGGAAGTGTTTCAATCACGGAAACTGTGATTTTTATTAAATTGCTGCAAATATTTGCGAAGTTGACGGAGGAGGACCTGAGATGGGTACCGCCAATTGTGGAGTCGGTGTACATGCGAATTTGTAAGGGAATGATGGAGGGTTGATATTTGACGATATATCATAGGTAGCTCAGGAACTTGACGGTGGCAATGCTCACGGCAGGCAAGTAAGGAGCACAGGGTGTGGAAACTGGAATTTACAAAATTATTGATGATTCAACCATTCTCAAATCATGTTAAGAACAAACAAGTCAGACACAACTTCAATCAAGATGAAAACAAAATAACCGACTTCTCGATAAACATAATGACAGTTACGTTGACTGTGGTGACCAGAATCGTGTGGTAAGTGTTTCGTATTCTAAAAGATTTAGAGGTTACATCTGCTTTGTTGAACCAAAAGTCTTCACTCGCCGTTCTTTGCAAATTTTCCGTGCGATTACAGCGCCACGAGTATTTATTGAGGTTTATACGAATGACCATGTATGAATATAATGTTCGACAATGTGTATTCTCCCTAAAGAACATTATTCATAAACGCACAAGTATTAAAATGATCAAGTCTTATAGGGGCAGCCATATCCCATCGTTTCTTAACCAACTTTCCCTATTTATTTCACCATCTTCAGAACCAGCTATGCCATTATGATTCGAATATACTAACATATTCTTTTAAGATATAAATCATAATCAACATCACCATAACCATAACCAACATCATCATATACACTCACTAAGCCTCCAATCAGCATTCAAAAAGGATCTCCAAATTGTTTGGCACACAGTTCAAGGCTCTTCAGCATACGGAACATCCCGTAATCTTTCCCCGAGAAGCTAATTTCAAATTCCCATTGAGTGCGGAACTGGCCTTTTATTTTCCAGCCCCTCCAAGAAGTCAGACCTAGGAGTCCATGGACATCTATTTGTCTTTGAGAAGGCCCTTTGATACTTTCAGAATGCTATCCAACTTGAGCAACATATCATAAATTACCTAGATCAAGAGTTAAACCGTCGAGTTATTCGATATTTGGATTGAGAACGTTATAGTGCACATTCTCTTCTCATATACAATATCTCTAATCTTTGGAACTGCACTCACCATCTAGCTACTTTGCAGCCCTATAACCGCATTCATAAATCTTACTGCCTCGCTTGCAACATGTCCTCCATCTATCCACACCGTCCATCCGAGCACCTTGGATCATTATGTATGAATAAATCAAGACTCGCATCCCTAGAAACCAAAGATTGCGCTGTGTTACAGTACGTGGAAAAGTTTTTCCTCCCTCCCAAGGCACTGCGAGCCCGATCCAGCATGTTAGTCAATCGTGCCTGACAAATCATGTAGACAACTCGTGCACTGCGGGAAAATGCGACTAATTATCATGGTCTGAATGTGCGTATTGCAAACAAGCCAGTTGTTTCTTGTTATGTCTTTGGATATTTTGGCTGTGAGATTGGGTACTTGTTGTAGTATTTAGACGAGCGACGATGAGACCTGCTCTTAAAATGAAGAGAACCAATTATTTTTCTTAGGAGGATGAGCTTCAGAAGACTGATTTTTTCGATGTCCTTCTGATATTGTTCCCATGAGACCTAGGTTCTGTACCCCATCTATAGGAAAGACCGCAGATATCACTATCTATCTCCGAGTTGATCGCGCTTGATCATCTGGTAGCATGATTTCTTCTAAGAAAGACTGGCTCTTCAAGTTTGCCTCTGTACAATCTTCATCTTCCGAAACTATAAATTACTATATTATCTGGTGAGTGAGAGGAATGGAAACAACAATGGAAACTTGACTAGCTTGGCTTAATAAACGCTAATTATTCAAGCGATCTAGTTTGGATTATCTTGGGTTTCATGCAGCAGGGTGAAATATCTTCATGGAATGAGAGGAAACCATAAGACTGATTATCTGCCATTATTTGATTTTACCTCGTAGAAAATTTGTACGAGTAGCTCTAACTCTCTCCTTCCTAAACTACCAATGAATTCTCAAAGTTTGTATCACACTTGTAACAGAGCATTTATTCTCAATCAGAGCACGAAAAAGCTGACTCCAGTCATAGATATACTGTTCAATAATATACCTGCACCGTGATTCACCAATGGAACCTAAGTATCTATCCACAATAAGTTACCAAAACTCAAGAGATTGACTATGAGGATTCGAACCGGCAAACAGATTATAGATTGCAACATACAAATGCTCAAGGACTTGCTAGTTCCCGACAAGTGCAGATATCTCCTTCGTCGTAATCTTCCCATCTTTTCTTGCACATCTCGAGCTCACACCTCTAGTTGAGAATTGCGCGAAGGAATCCCATGTTTTTCCGTGAGTTTTTTTCCATTTTTACCAATATATCTACCATCCAAGCGAAGCACTCATGAACTTCTCCCGGTGAGCATTTCAAGCTATTACATGAGTCAGCAAACCTTCACACACTCCACTTTCGACATTATTGGACATTATTAAGGTCACGGTAAACTAAACCCGATATCAATCCTATGATTCGCCAGCAGAGTCAGCTAGCTCCACATAAACGAAAGTTAATTAAATCTTTGAAATCTTATCAGATCATCGGATACATCTGATCTAATCTGATCTGATCTCATCTCATTATACTTAGACAGCATACATAAATCACTTCTTAAATTCCCCTCGTTACATTACCACATCATACACATGAATTCGACACATCAATCACATACCTCCCTCTCGGAATGGCTATCTAGCAATTTCCAAAGTGTTGCTGTTCGAAGCACATCTCATATATCCCCGATATCCACGGTATCCACGAGCAATAACTCAGAAACAAACCCAATAGCTATAGCCGATCCTCCTCCAGAACAACCCGATTTGCAGAAATTGATTGATGGCGCTTTGTTTAATGAGAAAATTATTAATACTTATCCATGGACGATTTGGGGGATTGTATTCGTTATTTCGGGGATACATTGGTTTGGGAGGGTTAAACGATGGAGGAGACGGGTTTTATGGAGGAGAAGGGAGAGATATGATGATGATGAAGTATCCAAGAAGATGCGAGAGAATCTAACGGAATATGGTAGTGGTAGTGGTAGTGCTACTACAAACTCATCGGGAAGCAGCACATTGGGATCAAACACCCCTTCTATCAAACTCGACAACAGAGATGAACATACCCCTCTCTTAGCGAATACTCTCCCCAAGAATACCCCCTCATATCAAAGCACCATAATATCCCATCTCAAAGCCTTCCTAATCTACCAACCCCGACCAATCCCCTACTTTAACAAAATCCTCCCTTCAAACGGCTCATCAATCTTCATCCTATCATTCCTCGCCCTCAACATCTTCTACACTTTCTACCACATCCACTTTTCCGCCTTCGAAGCATCAGTATTAGGAGATCGAGCCGGTTTAATCTTCGCTGTTAATCTCCCCCTTCTCTATATCCTCGGCGCGAAAAATCAACCGTTGAAAATATTAACAGGTGTTTCCTATGAATCTTTGAATATTATTCATAGACGTCTGGGAGAATTAATCATGATTACTGCCATGATTCATGCGGGTGGAATGTTCATGATGTGGTATATGTTTTTGAAACCATTTAGTGGTTGGACGATATGGGATTTTTTAACTCATCCTTGTATTTACTTAGGATTGTTGGCTCTTTTTACATACAAGTCGTTGTATGTAACATCGCTTGCTTCGTTTCGTCAAAGATGGTACGAGATGTTTTTAGGATTGCATGTTGTGTTACAAGCAGCTGCGTTGATCATCTTGTATTTTCATCATCAAGGAGCAAGAACTTATGTGTTGTGGGCTTTGGTGATATTCCTCGTAGATCGCTTAGTATATCGTCTTTGTGCTAAAATTATCATGGCAGAAGTAAGTCATTTACTTCCATTATCTTACTCTCCTCACTTAATCACATATATATACTAACAACATTAACCCTCTCTAGGCTAAAGTCAGCATATTTTCAGACAACGAAACCATGCTCCTCACATTCCACCTTCCCCAAACCACCCCAACCATCCTCTCCCAAACCCTCGGCCACTCCATCACCACCGGCTGGAAAGCAACCGACCACATATTCCTCACCATTCCCTCCTTAGGCCGCACCCACACCCTCCAAGCCCACCCCTTCACAATCTTCTCTCCAGCACCTCACCCCGCCACCAAAACCTCCCTCCTCACCCTCCTAATCCGCTCCCGCTCCGGATTCACCAGCGATCTCCTCCTCGCCGCCCAACTAAAAAACACTCTAAAATGTCGCCTCGATGGTCCTTACGGAAGTAATCACGCGCTCTCTCTCCTCTCCGATTCCGACCTAGCAATACTTATTGCGGGGGGAAGTGGAATTGCTGTTACGTGGCCACTTATTCATTATCTTCTAGCTATGTCGAAGGAGGATGAAAATGAAGATACAGAGAATGGGAGGATGGTAAAGGGGAAGAGACGAAGAATAGTAATGATATGGATTATTCACAAGCGTGAGCATTTAGAGTGGGTTAATGGAGAGGAGAGAGAAGAGGTGCAGAGGAGGGGGGTGGAAATTATTATTCCGGGTGCGACGATGGAGGTTGGAAGACCAGATTTAGAGGGGTTGATGGAAGTGGTGGTGGATGGTGGGAATGGGAGGAATGGGAATTCTTCATATGGAAAAAAGAACAAAAGAAGAATCGGTGTAGTAGTCAGTGGACCTGATGGATTAAACCGCACGATTAATAATAAATGTGCGGAATTTGTAAAAGAGGGAATGAATTTAAAGGTTACGATTGAGAAATTTGGGTGGTAGAGATATGGTTTAAGTATTTTATATCTTACATTTCATTGGTTTTCATTCAGTCGTGATGGGTAAATAGAAATTACAGCGGAATTCTTGAATATCTAGCTTAGTTTATAGTATTTAGAATTTGATATTTAGAATAGAGATAGAGATAGAGTATTTATGATGGAATAAGATTATTAAATAAATACGAATATATATTTGTATATACTAGATATATTAAATACCTATATATATATATCTTATATCCTTTACTCAAACTCATATCCCTTATTTGTATATTTCACTTTATATTCAAATTCCCTATTTAGATCAGTTACTCAAATCCCAAACTTATAACCCTTTTACTTGTATTCATATATCTCATATCCTATCATCTCTCTTCACTTCACACCAAACCTCACACCACAAAAATCCCATCCCCAGCCTAAATTTCCCTTCCGCTCTCATGTCTTCTCATCTAATCCATCCCATAATATTTCTATCTATCTATCAATATAATTAACTACCTACCTACCTACCTACCCAGGTAATAGGTAAGACTACCCATCTAATAACTGCCTACCTACCTATCAAATATCCCACTTCCTCCGTCTTCCTCCTTCTCACCCTTTTGCCTCCCCCTTCTCATCCACCACCTCTTCCTTCCCTCATCCACCCCTAGAAGACCTGTTCACAAAAGAAAAGTTCAGAAAAGACAAGAAAATTGCACAACCATAAAATAAAAACGAGTATTATTCATCTCCATCCTTGTAATCTTATGAATTCATTTATTTCTCTCATTCTCCAAAAAATAAGTCCAGTAGTCAGTCATCTTTGATTTATTTCCACATGTAATATGCATCCCAAACCATCCTGGTCCATCCATCCATTTACATCACAGCCAACAATTCATCTGACACCACAACACCTCCTCGCTCAATCCTACGCCAACCCATCACCCCGTCATCTATATACATCTATTGAGCAACCGGTGCATTAACAGTCTCCTCACTGGGAACTGGGGCCGGAGCTGTGGTTCCAGTAGGAATAGTACCCGGGTTAACATTTTCCGTGTCAATAACTTGTTGATCACCATTAGTCTTCTCAGCACTAGCCCACTTAGGAGGTTTAGCCCAAGCAGGATCTGTCCAAGGACCCTCATCACTCATTGCACAACCACCCTTACACTCACAAGTACCTCCGAAAACCTTTGGTAAATTTTCCTTGGGAACTTGAGCCAAAAGTTCCTTTTGATACCCTGAACCCAAAATATGGATCTTGCTAACAGTGATAGGGTCCAACCAACCCTTCATAACACCCCAAACAGTGGAGAAGCCCCATGGAGCATTAATCAGATACAATTTTCCGAGACGTTCAGGATAATAGTTTTGAGACATGACTGAAGCTTGTCTGACGTATGAGTAGACAGAAGGAACTTTTGTGAGACCAACGCCCTTGAGATCCATGATTGAGCAGCAGGTTTCGAGAAGGGAACCAGCTTTACGAGAACAAGCTGGAAGACGTGGATCGGCCATTTTTTCATACTCAACGGCGAGGTTTTGCAGCATTCGTTCTGAAGAGGTGATTTTGTACATGGCATTTAGGTCGATGTTACCCATTTGTTCGATGTAGACTGGACGGCCATCCTGTGAGGTGGAAGATGTTAGATGATGGTGTTAATTTGGGGGGGGGGGGAGAAAGGGAATAGAAAGAGAATGTACCTTATCAGTCTTGTGATAGTATTGAGGATAGTATTTGAAAACTTCTTCCTTCTCCTTATAATCAAAGGTACGAACAAGTTCATCGAGTCCGAAATCCTTTCTCCACTGCTCAGCTTCCACGAACCTATCCATGAAAATCAGTATGCGCCCTTTCAATGTATCAAATACGAAGATATGTAAATATTAAGGAAACCAGGAGCCCTACATCTTCTCAGCAAGTGGGACATCGAATTTACGTGCTCTCAAGAATCGAAGCTGTAGAATTGATAATAATTAGCCTATATCCATATTCATATACTAGCAGTCCAAATCCATCGCAGAATATCCAATCTCAAGATCTTAACCAAAGCTACCGCATTCTGCGAAGCAACAAACCAAACCAAACTAAACTTAACTCGAACCATCAAGACAACAAACAATCAAAAACAAAACATACCAAAGTAAGCGTATCCAACCTCTCAGTAAACCCTGCCGCCTCCAACTTCAACCTCAACTGCTCAACCTGAGCATCCTGCTCTGGCGTCGTATGTCCCGGATGACCACTCTGAGCCGTGGGCGACGTGGTAGGGAAATCATAATGATCATATTTCGGATTAAGATTGACTGATGGATTTGCGGCTGCCATGTTGAGTGTTTGTTGAAAAAAAGTATCTATCCTTTTCTCGATTTCTATTTCTCAAGTATGTATGTATGTATGTATGTATATGTATGTGATTTATTTGAATTCGTTTTCTAGTACGTCGTCAAATGCAAAACGTAAAAGGTAAAATGGGAAAAGGGAAAAATGAAAAAGGTGGTGAATTGGTGAATAAACGGCAAAAGGTTGAAATCAAGTTGCGCGCTCACTCCTCGTTCTTTCTGGGTGACGAACAAACCAAGCAAGGAATTCCTGCTGGAATATAACAGGTAGGTAGGTAGGATGGATATTAAGAGGGGCACTAGCTTGACGCATCACCACACTTTCTGGTCTGTTTTGCTGGGCTACTTACTGTGTTTGTGTTACTTTCTCGATGACGGTGTGGATGTATCCTTGTAAGCGAGTGAGTTTAAGTGCAGTACCTAGGTATAGAAAGAAAAGAAAGTCAGTCAGTTCAGTCCCCTAATCAGGGGATTCAGATCAGTCAGGGGAAGCAAAGAACGAACGAACGAACATTCTTCCATTCTTTCACTCTTTCGTATTCTTCTACCCCGTACTTAAAACTTTGATTTCTCCTCTAAATTGATCGATTTGATACATGGATACGATACCCCTTGATATAAATATATTAAAACCCGTTGAGATCCAAATTAGATCTTACGAATATCTTACGAATTTCTAATATTATACGAGGGTCGGTATGTTCTGATGTTTATAGCTAGCTACCTACCTAGGTACTTAAACATATGGATTTGAATTTAATGTACCAAAGTTTTTATATGGAACCAAGGAACCTGAATATCATGTACGGAGTATATTGATCAAATATAGTAAACCAATAATATTTCAAGAGTTTTACTTCCTGATATCAGATTTCAGATCTTTAATCATCTTATCTTTTGATTCCTTGTATTTGACAGGAAAGATGGTTTGGTTCCTCCTGAATATCATCATTCATTCATTCATCATCATCATCATCATCATCATCATCATCATCATCATCATCAAGTGGAACATTCCGTCAACATCCCTAAGACTTTTGAGTTTCATTATTTCTCTCCTAAATCTTATATACATCATCCATTAGGACTACCACTCTTTCCTTCCTTTTCATCCGCAGCCTCTTGTTCAATCTTTTCTTTTCGTTTCATCGTAACATCCCAATTGTATACCCTAGCCGTAGCAACCTCCATAGTCTATTGAAAGTTTCGTCAGCTTAATCTAATCTCTCGACTTCTCCCCCAGTTATGTTTTATAGGTGACTTGAACGTACTGTAATTTGTTCTCTCAAGAAATCAAGATCCTCTTCACAATTTGAGTAACTTTGTTTTGCTGCTGCTAGTCGTTTTGAAAGCAATTCTTCTGCCTCATCGATAGGATATGATAACATAACGTTGGCCTAATCCATTTTGTTAACTCAATATCAGAGAATTCATCCTAGAAATTAAACATACCCCCAACCATAAATATACCTCTTCGGTAGCTGGAATATTGGCTTTGGCATACAGAGTATCATTCAACTCAAACGTAGCCTGTATTGGGTCCGAACCCTCCTAGCATAGAAGTCAGCTCCAATCTCAATCTCTTATCCTACTCTCTGCCCCCCTCCTCTCCCCATTCCAATATACCTTTCTCGTTTTTAAAAACCTCACTGTATCAAGCGTCTTCTGAATATCCGGCATATTGATTTTCAACCCCGCAATTCTCTTTTGTTGATTAACCTCCATAAACTGATATTTCCTAAAGAAGTTTCAAAAGTAAGCCAGTGGTCCATCATCCAAGCCTCAAACCCCCAAACCCCCAACCCAAACCCGATCGCACTCCCCCGAAATAGAAAACAACACCTACGAAATCATTTCCTGAAACCTCTTCAACGTAGGTTCTACATCCGCCCGCTCCGTAACATAATCCTCCACACGATCCACAAACGGCGCATATGGAATCCCACGCTCATTCGTGCGAGCTACATCTTTCCTAGTTTGTATGTTAGTTTTTTTTCGGCAGACATCCTCCCGCATCCCCTCCCTCTTCCTGTCCTCTCCTCCCCTCCCCGCACCTCTCTCCTCCCTCCCCTCCCACAAACCCTAATCCAAACCCAACCTTCACCCTCCACCCTTCACACCTCCAAGATCCATAGAAAATCCACAACTTACTTAGTATCTGAATCCGCCATATTTGGCATCTGCGAAACTAAAAAGAAAAAGGGAATCGACAGAGTACGGTATGAAATGAACCGATATTTCACAAAAAATATTGAAACTGCAATATACCCACCACAACATTAGTGTTCTCGCTTATGTAATCATAGATGTACTGCGCTGCATCATAATCCCCGCTCTGGATTCTACTCCGTATGTCACGCTCTGATCCAGTTATTAGATAATTTAACGTCTTTACTTTACTCATTCATGGTTTTACTCTCGTTCAGTTATTACACATTGATAGCAAGCAATCGTACTTTATCAGTAATTTAATCGCATTCTGTACCGTACTAGTAGATATGTAGATATCAAGGAACTAATGGATAGTGACCCAATGATCAATTGTAGGGCATTCTGATCAAGGAAAAAGTGATCCCATTGCTCAATAGAATACCATGCATAGTTGTTATTATTAGAAATGAGACCTCTCTATTCTACAAACTAAAAGGAAATTCCCATCACCGATTCATGCCACAGACTTGTACGAGGGGCAGTCAATTTTGTTACCAACTTTGGCCCTTTGGGCTCAAAAGATTATGCATTTATGCCTTTGCCTTAGCAAGTCCCAACAGTGTTCTTGCCAAGATCATAGACAGAGTAATATCTTCGAAGGAATGCATCACCCAAGATAGCAAGAGGTCCGACTGGCTCTGGGAAATCCATACCCTAAAATACCATTAGTAGATATTCAATGAGGGAGGAAAGGGAACCAATGCAATAAAAAAACTTACCATGATTGTGGAAATACAAGAATCTTGAACTTCAAGAATGTAGTCGTAAGGGGTAATAGCGAAGTCATTACCGCTGAGTGTGAATGTAAGATCTGGAAGACTGTCACGCTTGGCACAATCGACCGAGTATTGACCGTTCCAACCCTTCTTAGCACCAATCTCCTTGTTAAGAAGCTCAGCGAGAGTGGATGGAACAGCAATGAGAGAAGTTCCGGTGTCAAGTATAACACCAGTGTTGTCAAGATCGGCCTTAGCATCACCAAAGGAGATAGCATCAAGGTCAACTTCCCAGTAAGCCTTACGTCTCAATGGGATCTCGGTGATCTTGCCCTCGTAGTGATCCTTGTTAACGCCACCAAAGATAGCCTCGGACTCATCACCCTCATCCTTAGAGTCACCCAAGTAGAAAGCGAAAACTGGCTCGTCCAAAAGTCCTTGGTTGATCATGTTGTAGAAAGGTGGGACGATCTGATTGACAGAAATGGTATCATAACCAAGACCTAAGATACCGTCGAATCTGCCGAAAGCAAATGCAAGACCTGGTTCTTCGGTAGCTTCGGCGAAGACTTGATCCTTGATCTCAAGATCACCAATAGACATAACATCTCTAGAGGTGAAACCACTCAAGCTTCCCGAACCGTATCGGATCTCGAATGATGTTCCATTCTTCTCGTATGTAGAGGATGAGGATGAGTCGTACTTTGTGTGAAGGTAGCACGCGATCGAACCGCATTCGGATGATGGAACCCAAAGGTTGGAACTTCCGGTATCAAGGACGACCTTGAATGTTTGTGGTGGTGTTCCGATGGTAATCTCGGAGAAGTCTATTTAAAAGTCAGTACCTAATGAATACTCGTTACTGATGTATATACTTACATTGAGCATTAAGGAAGTTGGAAACCGGAACAGTGTGGTCGCCTCCCTCAAGGTGAACCGAAGTCTCCTTGAACATCTCACTGGCATGAGATTGAGGTCTAACACCCATATACTTTTGTCCCAAATGCTTGACATGAGTATCCATATTGGCCGTAGCAAGTTGCTCACTCAAAGATACCTTCTTGAGAGGCATCTTGTGAACACCGGCACTCACACTGCCGAGCAGCGATGCTGCGGCGAGAACTGCACCCTTCATGATGTAGAATTAATTCGTATGTAGCGTAATGTATCGTATCGTATTAATGAAAGGTCGAGTTAAAAGAGAAGAATGTCTTTGATGAAATTCAGAAATGGTTGATGAAGTAAAAGAGTTGGGTGTTGATAAGAGAAAGGAAGATGGCTGAAATTGATGGGATAGAGAGCTTCCGGTACTAGCAAGAGCAAAGCAAGCAAGAGCAATAATAGCACGACAGGATCAAGTGAATGGCTCGAGCACGAATGAATGACGATAGCGGTCGCCTATTACGGCTGCCTCCACAACACCAACCACTCATAAGCTGAGAAAGCAAAACAATTATGAATTTAAACCAATCAAAAAAGGTCATGCGTCTTCTTGGCGGAACCTTTAGAAAAATAGATACCGATACCCCGACATTTTTGAGACCATGGCAGTGGCACCATACCCTTATCGATCATGACCGATCGAAATCCTACAAGGTGCCGGTAACAGTCTCACATTTCCAAGGCGAACGAACGAGCTTAGGTAAGTTACGCATACGTAGATGAGGAAAACAATTCATCGCCACATGAAGATAAAGATACAGATACTACCTAGTAGGTAGATAATAACAATAAATCACATGAGCATCCAACTTCATCTTCATCTTCATTTTCATACTACTACCTAGGTACCCTTATCTAATCATTCCCTTCATTCATGCCAGGCACAAGGCAAGAACAACAAATACCTACCTAGCTTATGTGGACCGACCCGGCGCCAACCGCTCTTCCGCCATACCGCCCCAGGATTCAGTCAGGTACGAAACAATTAACTTGGAATACCTACCTAGGTACTAAAAGTACATTGCATTGTACCTCGGATGGTACTAGAAGACGCCATCTTCCATCTTAAAAGGTTAAGTAAGGTAAGATTACATGTGATTCGTCGTTTTAGACAAAGATGCATATCCTCTGTACTCTCTACAGCCAACGAAATGCAGTTAAGGTTTAGTGCATCGCTACTCGAGTACTCGCATCTCATCAGATCCTAACCTAAATGCCTCTCGCTCGCAGCATGTGGAACGCCCATTTAGATAGGACAATGATGACAAACTATCTCACCAGTAGACATTCACATCTTTGCTCATAATACGTGATACTTGAAATATAAAGTGACGGTAGAAACAGTTGATTTACTACCTAGGTATCTAATGTGGTCTATTGAATTCGACCTCTAAATTTTATTCATAATCCCTTGCCACTCCCTGGTATATCATGACGACGTTGAATCAGTCAAAAGAAGTAGCGCCTGCAAATGATGAACCCTATTTGCTTTTTCTTGCCCACACCCTAACCTTAAACACCAAAAACAAATGCCAAGTAATCAAACATCTACTCTCTCCATCCCTCAACTGGGAGAGGGAAGCTGCTAGCCCAGGACGCAATCTCCTTTCTCAACTCGTTGATCTTCTCAACCTCACCACCGGCAACCTTGGACTTGAAGTCCTTGAGCTTGTTGTCGCTCTTTGGCAAAGAAGCTTGAACTTCCTTGCAGATGTTGATACTTTGATCAATGTAGGATGCAACCCTCTTGAAGTCCTCAGTACCAAATCCACGACTGGTCATGGCTGGTGTACCAATACGGATACCACAAGGGGTTAAAGCAGACTTGTCACCTGGTATGGAGTTCTTGTTGCAAGCAATGTTGATTTGCTCCAAGACAGCCTCGACACGAGCACCGTCAAGTCCTTGTGCTCTGAGATCAAGGAGAACCATGTGAGAATCAGTGCCATCAGCAACGAGCTTGTAGCCCAATTGCTTGAACTCGATCTCGAGAGCCTTAGCGTTGTCAACGACTTGTTGTTGATATTTCTTGAAGTCGTCAGTTGTAGCTTGCTTGAGGGCAACAGCAAGAGCGGTAATAGTGTGGTTGTGAGGCCCACCTTGGTGACCTGGGAAGACGGAGAAGTTGATTGGGCCTTCGAGATCGTAAAGTGTCTCCTTTCCAGTCTTGGCATCAGTCTTGCGGACACCCTTGCGGAAGAAGATCATGGCACCACGAGGACCACGGAGGGATTTGTGGGTTGTGGTGGTAACGATATCAGCGTGCTCGAATGGACTTGGGATAACACCAGCTGCGATCAAACCGGAGATGTGAGCCATATCAACAACGAGATAAGCACCGACAAGATCGGCGATCTTGCGCATACGGGCATAATCAATAAGACGGCAGTAAGCGGAGGTTCCGGCAACAAGAACCTTTGGTCTGTACATCAAAGCGTTGGCCTCGAGTTGGTCATAATCGATGATACCAGTCTCCAAGTTGACACGGTATGGGAAGGTCTCGAAGTATGTTGATACAGCGGAGATCCTGTCAATGAATTAGTTTCACGGAAATGTCAAGAATCAACACTTTGCAACTCACTTTCTCTGGGGAGTTTGGTAACCGTGAGACAAATGACCACCGTGTGGGAGATCAAGACCCATCAGTCTATCGTGAGGTCTCATGATGGCTTGGTAAACCTGGAGATTTGCTGGGGAACCACTCAAGCATTGAACATTGACACCCCATTTCTCGGAGTCCAAGTTGAATGCCTTAAGAGCACGAGCTTGACAGGTCAACTCAATAGAGTCGATGTGTTGGTTTCCACCATAATATCTAGCACCTGGGTAACCCTCAGAGTATTTGTTTGACATGGGAGATCCCAAAGCATCGAAAACTGCACGGGAGGTAACGTTCTCGGAGGCAATGAGGATAATTGATTCACGCTGACGTTGAATCTCGAGTTTCTGTATGTTTCGTCAGTAATTGGCATAACGGCAGAGGGCTGCTTGTTCACTCACCATGATCTCAGCAATCTCGGGATCGGTCTCGACCAAAGACTTTTCCAACATCTGTAAAAAGTGAGTCAGTAAATTCTTCAAACATTCCTGATTGAGGGACAATTGGTAGTATAACAAACCTCTTGGTGAGACTTTGGGAGGGCGTATGTAGAAGACATGATAGCGATCTGATTCTCTGAATGGCAAAGAAAAGTGTATATGAATTGCAAATTGAGATTCTGAAGGATGCTTCGAAAAAATAAAATGATGCAGAGGCAAGACAAAGAAGTATATACGAAAATTTGGTCGAGCTAAGAGTTGCCCCTCCAGCACGCTAGTGGGGATTAAAGGTTCGCATCAACCAATGAAAACCCCACAATCATCAATTCGTGACTCGCTACCGTAAATATCCCGCATTAAAAAAAATGGTGCGGGGGAAAGTCGATGGATGGTGAAACTACGGAAAAATATTCAGAGTTTGGTAGGAATGGAGGCATATGCAAGGTCAATACTGTCAAAAATGGAGAATTGGTACTTGAAATATTCTTAGTATCTTTCCGGATCTTTCACAGTCTTTTGTATGAAGCCACGAAACTATGATTATAACACAATCAACCATTCCTTGCCAAGACTAAAGACAATAAGGATCGACATTTCTTGCAGAAGGGGGTTCGCTTAAGGCAATGAAGTAGAGGATGAACAAGGTGATTATGAAGTAATATGAGGTTAATTTTGGTATCATTATTTTTTGTGTCTGCCTCGTGAATAAGTTGATTGCCATGACTCCAATTCCCGCTGGAGAAAGCAAAAAACTTTTATGCACAATCTCCCAACCATCAAAAATTATCAGTCCGAGACTCCAATCGTCTCTTCTTCGCCTCCTTGTACGCTTTTTTCTCCCGTCTTGCTTCATCCTTAGTGGTTGCCATATTTGAATCTTTACTGACGGGTGCTCTTATAGCTTTCTTCTTCGTACTCTCCTCGTTTGAGGATAGGTCTTTCGTGGTTGGATCGAAGGTTGTAGGTTGAGCTTGTGGGAGTGTTGTGTTTAAATTAGAGGACGCCTTGCTTGATAGGACTATGGAAGGTTGGGAAGGACTAGTATCAGTTGGTTTTTCAGGAGCCAAATCTGAACGCGACGTGGCCCGTAGTCGTAATGGCATGGACTGATCCGCGAGCTCAGTTGCTGTCTGCTTCTTCAAAATTTTCAGTTCCTGTATTTCTGGGGAGGCTGATGTGAACGAACTCTTTTGCTTTTTCTTCTTGTCTCCAGTATCCTTCTGCTTCTTTTTCGATGAGCGATCCGCACTCTCTTGTGAGTCCTTCTGGCTCTTCTTCGACTTATCAGACTTTGATTTCTTCGCTGGGTTTGAGGATGGTGGTGCATCTTCCATCTCTACGTCCGATGCCCCGTCTTCCGACATTGCGATTTTTTGGAACTTGGGAGCACGTTCTTCCGAGTCACTTTCATCTTCGTCGGATCCAATAACACCAGGTGCGCTTGCAAATCCAATTGGCTGGAATCGCGCTTTAAGACCTTTAGGCTGTTGGCGGACAGGTCTCTTTGCGGGCACTGTAGCTTGGCTGGAATTCTCCTTTGAAATGTTGACGACTTGTTGCATATGATATATTTGATCCACAGGCTTTCTTTCTAGAATGATGCATTAGTATTACGGAGGAATTAGTTGCAGGGGGAAGGTTACCAATAGAGTAACCATCTTTGGAATTGCTTGGTAACAAGATCTTGGTGTATGTCTTATCATCGAGCGGATCTTGAACGAGACCATAATCATTTCCGTCGTGTGAAAATACTGCCTTACCCAATTTCGCATCTTGTAGCGAAATTTCCTTCACAGAGTTTATAGGCACTGACGCAGGTGCTGTGATATACCAAATTTCCTTGCCCTCTAAATTAGATTTATTAAATAATTGTGATGTAATGCTCGAGTTCTTCGATGAAGTCTTCTCGAATCCAGGAGGAGGCTTGAAGGGCGCAACTTTCATCGACACGGTTTTGGCATCCTTTCTGATATAATATCAGCGCATGATTTCGGACTCTGGCGAGCTTCGAAGAACTTACTTGGACGGCGGCGCTACAGCAGTCTTTTTTCCATCTGCATTCGATTCATTTTCACTTTCGGATTTCTGCTCATTCTCTTTATCACTTCCACTTCCACTTTCACTCTCTTCTTCGCTTTCAGCCTCGGAACTGTCGCTACTTTCTGCGGCCTTGCCATTGGATTTGGACTTGGATTTAGGTGTGGATTTAGCGGGATTCGATGGCAGGGAGTCATTGTCACTATCGGAATCTGAATTATTTCCCATTGGCTCATCATTATCATTGTCGCTTTCTCCAACGAATTCAGAGCTCTTGAAATCTTGCGATGATTTGGCGACTGGAGTTTCAATTGGATCTTTGCCAGAATATTTCGTGGACTTCTTTGACATTGACTTTTTCTTTTGTTCACTAGGAACAGCTTTGGACGGCCCCATTATGAAAGAGTATGATTTTGTTCTGTGGTAATTGATTCGAAATTTGTGCAATGGTAGTTGTAAATCAAGGGAAAATCACATTGAAACTTTTTTTTTGGCAAGGCTCGGCCTCGTTCGGGAAAACACCCGATACAAAGGTTTTTCGATGCGCCCAAGCTGCCTCCTCATAAATAAGCCTTTCGAATATCAAACAATCATAAATATGTGCATGGTAAATTATTTCTTGCTGAAGTATTTATTATAATGTCGAGCAAAAGAAGAAAGCTAGATTCTTCTATAAAACCTCGTATGTTCAACTGCGTTACCAAAAAAGGACCATTTTTACTGAATTCAATATAGAGCTGAGTGCCGTCAGTGCTTTCGCAGCTAGAAAGGCACAAGCTGCTGCCCATAGCACTGGTAGTCCAGAAAAGGAGACGACATCTTCTGAAGATCATCCAAAGAAACTTTCTCAGGATGTGAAAATTGATTTCCCCTCCAGAAGTCTGAATCGGGGTAAATCGAGTCAAGTTGGAAATGACTTTCCTTCTATAAGCGCAGGCTTCATTGCTGAGGGAAGTGGACTAGGAGAAGACATTGGGAATCATGTCATGAGGTGCGTCCCTTTACTCCTATTCTCTCTGTTATTCTCCCTGTACCAAATATTGATTTAGGACAGTTCTGATTCACGTGAGCAGTCACCTGAAGTGATCTCCAACAGGCCATCGATGGTATTATCTACCTTCAGGCCCAACGAAGATAATACCAAAGTGCTCAAAAACAGAACCCTGGTCTTGAAGCTAGCACCTGGTGAGGTCAGTGATCTTGAGTCTGTTAACCACAAAATCTGACATTTCATAGAGATTGGTCATTCTTGGACAATGTAATCTTGAGGTGGCCGAAGGACAAATCACCATTCTAGGGTCTATACTAAAAGCTTCAAAAACTAAATATCAAGTATATGCGGCGGCCTCACATTCGTTACCCGTGATTAGGTGTCCAGATGGAGAACTTAACCCTGCCGTACTCCGTCTTCATCAGTCTGATTGCGGGCTGAGATCCTTGGATTCTCTTTCTCCGCTCTTCGGAAAATTATGGAACGAAGACACGCGAGCATTCAAATCAGCACACAGTCGTCTTTCTGCAAAACTTGGAAAAAGCACATTTCAAATTGTACACAAATCCTACCTGCAACCAATCACCTCCCCACCAGAATGGAACAAAACCTTGTCAAAATTATCCGGTACCCCTGGAGCAACAAAACGAATCATGCTCTGTGGTCCTAAGTCGTCTGGAAAATCAACTTTTGCGAAATTCCTTGTCAACCGACTTCTCTCCGCAAGTCAGAATGATGCTCAAAGTTCCACCCCGAACTCAAGAAAGGGTCCCGGTGTTGCACTACTTGATCTAGATCCTGGGCAACCCGAATATTCTCATCCTGGTCAAGTATCCCTCATTCACATTCAAGAACCAAACTTTGGACTGTCAATTACCCACCCTGTACCTGGGATCAAGAGTCGTCTTATTCGTGCACATGCTCTAGGCGCAATATCACCATCTATGGACCCAAGTCTCTACATGTCATGCGCACTCGACCTATTTGCACATTATCGGAATTTATCCTCTCTCCATTTCAATTGTCCATTGGTCATCAATACTCCTGGCTGGGTATTAGGAACCGGGCTTGAAATTCTTGTAGACTTAATAGCTAAAGTGCACCCATCAGAAGTCATATACATGTCTAAAGAAGGTCCCGCCGAAGTCGTTGAAAGCTTACAAGACGCCGCTAAAACAACCCCTCTCATTACCCTTCCTTCACAAACAAGTGAATTCATGACACGAACTTCTGCTCATCTTCGTACAATGCAGTCAATGTCATATTTCCATCTCGATTCTACAAACAAGAATGAACTTGCGTGGAGCTCAACGCCATTAACATCTATCCCACCTTGGGAAATAAAGTATTCTGGCGAGAATGCCGGTATACTAGGTATTATGTGTTACGGCGAGCAACCGCCTCCAGATCTTCTTGCAGAAACCATCAACGGCTCTATAGTGTCCGTTGTCGTTATCGAGGAAGCAGCTGCAATACCAGGTTATACTTCATTCCAACAAGAAAAAGACGAGCAATCCGACCCTGAAACCCTTCACGAATTCAATTCACCTTTAACACTCGATCCTATAAAAACTCCTCTAATTATCCCTACACCACACGAAAGGCTCCCCTACTTCAATCCTCTCAACGCCATAACTTTAGACCCTCAATTCTCACACACTATCGGAACGGCTCTCATCCGAGGAATCGACATAAATCGTCAGCGTCTCCAAGTTCTCACTCCCATCTCTCCAGAAGTTCTCGAAGAACTCAATGATGAGAATAAGAAAATAGTTCTAGTGAGTGGAAAATTAGATACGCCCGGCTGGGCATACACAGAAGAATTAATGAAGAGAATGTGGTTGGAAAAAGAAAAAAGAAGGAATGAATTACATGGTAATGATGATGATGATGAAGTGGAAGTAGAAAAAGATGAAGATGAGGATGAAGAAGAGGATAAAGAAGAAGATGAAGAAGACCTCCCAACCCCAAATTCAACATCATCATCATCATCATCATCATCATCATCATCATCTAATAACACAACCATAACATTTCGCCACCACACGCCCTGGGTAGAAAAACTCACTGGCTCCCAGGGAAGAGGTATAGGAGCGAGAGTGTGGAGAGTAAGGAGGGATTTGGGTAAGATGGATGCGTGATGGATGATGCGAATTATTTAGTTGATGAGTATTCTTCCTGTTGGTATCATTATTACTAT